ACTGCGTCTACCTGGGACACATCTGAAGAGGCACGACCCTGAGGGGGGAGGGGGTCTACCGGGGGGGGACCTGGCACAAGGAAGAGCGGAGGCGGGGGGAGGGAAGGAGTGCGGTAGGGGAAGAGATGGTAGTAGGGGACCGACTCGTCAAACGTGACGTCCTGGGAGGACAGAACACGACGAGAGGAGGGGTGGTAGAACTGCCACCCTGGCGCGTCAGGGGGGAAGCCAAGGAAGACACAAGGAGCAGCACAAGGGGACAGCTTGTCCGCAGACAGGTCGCGGACAAACGCCCGAGATCCCTTGACACAGAACGTAGACGCATCGCCAACCTTCCCCGTCCACACCAAAGCTGCGGAGGTCTCCGGCATGGAGACCTTGGGGTGAAGGTTGATCTGATGCGCCGCGTACCGTGTTGCAAACGGTCACACAAAATGGGGGCCAGCCGCATGCATCATGGACGTACGAGCGACGTCCATGACCATGCCAATGCGGCGCTCAGCAATCCCATTTTGCTGTGGAGAGTCTGGAAGCGTAAAGTTCTGGCGGATGCCTCGCGCACGGCAGTAGGCTCGCAGAAGGCCAGAGGAGAACTCTCCACCGCGGTCAGAGTGCAGACGCAGAACAGAAAAGTCCGAGCGGAAGCTCCTTTCTAAGCTGGAGACGAGCTGCGCGGATCCAGTCGATCAACACCTCAGTGTTATCACACTTGCTGCGCAAGGGGAAGACTGTGGTGTAACGCGAGTAGTCGTCAACCATCAGCACGAAGTAGCGCTCGTGACCGTGTCCACGGATGCGGGCCGAGCCCCACACGTCCATGTGAAGCGTCTACAGCGGGGCCTCTGTCGGGGGAAACTGAGAGGAGTGCGGGGCAGCCCGGAGCCGCCCCTCAACAGAGGGGACACAGGAAGGACCATGCCCTGGAGGAAGGGGAGGGAGGGACCGGGGAAGACCAGAGACAAGGACACGGGAAGCCATGCCTTGGAGACGAGGCAGGGAGGGGTGACCAAGGCAGTGGTGCCATAGGAGAGTCTCGTGAGACAGGAGGTGACACGAGCAAGGGGCAAACTCAGGACCAGACTTGGACGCTGCAGCGAACACCTGACCCGACGCAGCTACCTGGCCAGACGCAGGGACAGAATGAGACTCAGTGGTCAGGGTGTAGAGGCTCAACCCCGGTCGACGCGTAAACGTGGCCAAGTGCCTGCCTGTGCGAGTGTCCGAGCAGTGGGTCACCCGCTGACTCGCAGGAGTAAACTGGTGAACCCCCGCATCCTGTAGGTCAGCACCACTCACCAAGTTCGTAGAGAACGAGGGGAGGTAAAGACCAGACAAGGTGCCAGAGGGGGCAGCCGGAGACGGGAGGACAGTAGAGAAGTGAGAGAGGACAGGGCCCCTAGAGGGGTCTGCCAGGGAGACTGCAACTGGCCGACCGAGCGGCGTGAGTGTGGTGCGGTCTCGAAAGAAGGAGCGAGAAGCCCCTGAGTCAAGTGTGAAGGTGAGGGAGGCTGAAGGTGACGCGGTACGTGAGAGCGTAAACTCACCAGCACCTTAGGACGGAGACGCACTGGCAGCTAGAGCAGGAGCCTCACTGGCACCTAGAGCAATAGCCTCACCAGTACCTAGAGCAGAAGTCTCAATGCCCGGGTCGGGCGGGAAACACCGGTAACTGCCACCCTCATCACTAATAGTCACAGCATACATTGCACGAAGGATAGCATCAAAGTCAAGACCATAGATGGCTACACCCGCCCTAGACAGCTCTCCCCAGCGGGGGATCTCAGTAGCCTCCGGGAACTGGTGACGCCAAGCGTCCGTCAGGCGGCCAAAGCAGCGCTGGGTGGGGTGGGCACCCCCACACTGCTCACCCGCGCGGTCCTCGGTGCGAAGGACGTAGGTGCACGGACCAAAACACCCACCACGCTGACGTTCCGCGTACCACTGACGGAGCTCCTGAGGGGGGTGGATGTCCTGAGACCGTTGCTGCTGCTGCTGCTGCTGCTGCTGCTGGCGCGGACCACCACTGGAGCCGCTCCGCTGCGAAGCGCCACCCCGACCATCTCCACCTCCTCCACCATCGCCGCCTCTGCTCCCACCGATACCGCCTCCGCCGCCTCCGCCTCCACTGCTGCCACCGACACCTCCACCCCCCGCCACCACTCCCACCGCCACCCCAACTCCCTTCGCCGCCTCCACAGCCGCCTCCGCCACCCCCGCTAGCTCCACCCGCGCCCTTGCCCTCCTTGCCCTTGCCAGAGCGGCGTCGCCTGCTAGGGGCAGACGCCGCACCGAGCGACTCAAGACCAACTAGGTCGGCCGTAGTAGCAGAGGCGACAGAGGGCAAAAAGGGGGAAGGGGAACACCACTCAAAGATGGGGGTGCGAGGGTCACCACGAGAGGCCCGTACAGCGACTATGCTCTTCTCCTCTGCTAGGAGGGCCTTCTCTAGGAGGTCAACAGTGAGAGTGGTGGGACAGACTGAGAGGAAGTGGTCCCTGACTACACGAAGGGAGTCAGGGAGGCGGGTGACTATATAATAGAGAGTGATGTACATGGGGGGGGGGGGTTCTTGGCGCAGAACTCAGCAGGAAGCGCGGCGCGGTAGCGAGTGTCACTAGTGCGGAGGTGCGTAATGAGGTCAGCGACTGTGGGAAAGGCAGCAAGGTCAGGGAAGAGGTACGGTAGCATGAGGCGGCTCAGTGCAGCAGTGGCAGGGGAAGATTAGCGCGCAACTACAGCGTCGTACAAGGTCAGAGCACTCTTGTACTGGCTAAAGTGCGCGCGCTCAGTGGTAGGTAGGTGCGACGCACAGCAAGACGTGCAGCAGCATCGCGCGTGGCCCACTGAGAGCGAACAGTGGCGTCAGCATCAGCAGCAGGGGCAGGAGAGGCGCCAGAGGTGAGGTCAAAGAGAGAGAGACCATCTGCCCTATCGCACTGTAAGAACAGCTGGAGGTCGTCGACCCAGACCTCAATGTCAATGGCTCGACCCTCAGCGTCAAAAGCGAGGACACTAGGGGTAGCCATGACAACAGTAGACCAGCAGTGCAAGCAGTAGGGAAAGGGCAGTGAAGTGACAGAGGTGTTGTGCTCACCGGACAGTGCTGCACGGGCGGCTCGGTGGAAGAGTGGCTGGGCGGTACGGCGGCTCGAGTGCTGGGCGGCTTGGCTGCACGGCGGCTGGGCGGCTCGGTTGCAGGGCGACCCGGCGGCTCGGCGGCTCGGCTGCTCTGCTGCTGGGCGGCTCGGTTGTGCTGCTTCAGGGCGGCACGGCGGTCGGCGGCTCGGCTGGGTGAGGCGGCTCGGGCGGCTCGGGCGACGGGCGGCGCTGCAGTAGTTGAACGCGGCGGGGACGCAACTGAGGGCGGCGGGCCGCAGGTGAGGGCCGGGACGGGCCGCAACTGAAGGCGGGGGGGCCGTAGGTGAGGGTAGCGGGTCCGCAACTGAGGGCGGCGGGGCCGCAACTGAGGGCGGCGGGGGCGCAACTGAGGGCGGCGGAGCCGCAAGTGAGGGCGGTGGGGCCGCAGCGAGGGCGGCGAAGGGGCCGCAACTGAGGGCGGCGGAGCCGCAAGTGAGGGCGGCGGGGCCGCAGGTGAGGGCGGCGAAGGGGCCGTAGGTGAGGGCGGCGTCGGGGCCGCAGGTGAGGGCGGCGATGGGCCGCAGGTGAGGGCGGCGACGGGCCCCAGGTGAGGGCGGCGACGGGGTCGCAGATGATGGCGGCAACGAGGCCGCAAGTGAGGGCGGCGACGGGGCCGCGGCTGAGGGCGGCGACGGGGCTGCAGGTGAGAGCGGTGGGGCCGCAGCAGAGGGTGGCGGGGCCGCACGTGAGGGCGGCGGGGCCGCAAGGGAGGGCGGCGACGGGCAGCAGGTGAGGGCGGCGACGGGGCCGCAATCGAGGGCGGCGACGGGCCGCAAGTGAGGGTGGCGGGGCGGCAACTGAGGGCGGCGGGGCCGCAAGTGAGGGCGGCGGGGCCGCAAGTGAGGGCGGCGGGGCCGCAAGGGAGGCCGCTAGGGCGGCTCGACGAAGGTAGAGAGGGGAGCGCGACGCGGGGAGTGCGCTCCGGGCAGGAAAAAAAAAATCGATGTGGAGGGCCCTAGGCACAGTTCCCACGAGGGAACCTGCTCGATACCATGAGAAACTTAGTGAAATGACTAAGTGAAATACAAATACAACCCTAGAAAGCTGTACCCCATATGTGCTACCCCACTATAGCCTACAACAGCTATGTCATATAAATCTGACACATAAGCGCCAGCGCTTGTATAATGACAAATACAATTTTTATCTTTAGAGGTACCAAACTGTACCTTTCGTTGTAGCCATTTCAAACGAGTCGAACTATTATAGCGTCACAAAGCAGAATCGCGCGCAAGCGATTATGCTTCCTCCTGTACACGGGCAAATTCGCGTCACTTTGCAGGCATGCCAGCACATCCTGACTGGACGCGCAGACAGTCAGGTCTTCGCGAGCCAAACAAAGCGAAAATGAAATTTGACTCGCTGCAAAACTGAAATTCGGTATTGATTTAAACTGATATTTAAATGAAAATTGCACACGGCGCTTATAAGTAATGGTTTTCCAGGGGGGGCGCTTATAATCGAGGATCGGCCATAAGCGCCATGCTCCAGATAGAAGCGCCGGCGCCTGTAATAGGCCGGCGCCTATATCCTGGGCCATACGGTACGAGGTTTTCTGATGCGAGGCCGTAGGAACACGCCCTTAGAGCACTTCAAAACATCAACAAAATATATATGTACCAATAGAATAGGTGAAGTCTGTGCACAAAAACAGTTGTACCGGTATAATAAAAGACAATATCCCTAAGTTCCTTACACCATATCCATATGCTTTATGCGTCCATAGGCCAAGGCTCTGTCCAGCCATGCCTCACTCCCAAGGCCAACCAGCAACAGCGTCACTCCGAAGGCCAACCAGCAACAGCATCACTCCCAAGGCCAACCAGCAACAGCGTCACTCCCAAGGCCAACCAGCAACAGCGTCACTCCCAAGGCCAACCAGCAACAGCGTCACTCCCAAGGCTAGTAGGGACCGAAGTCAGAGCAGACGGAATCGCCCTCACTGCCGCAGCATCATTAGCGAAAGTATTACCAGCAAAAGCACCACCAGCAAATGCGTTCTTGGGAAAACCGTTTCTCCCAGACCCAGCAGCCGCCATGACAACCCCTTCTAGCTCCATCACGCGCCTCTCCGGCGCAGCAACATAACCCACTGCCCTATCCAGCATAGCGCACGTGTCCCCCCGCCCCCTCACCTTCGCCCGCAGCCTCCGCAGCCCCTCACTGATCCTCTCCCTCCTCCGCCGCTCCGCCATGCTGCGTCTCTTAACCCTCTGGTTCGGCACCGAACCAGTCCCCACGGCCTGGCATGGACGCGATCGCTCGTCGTCAGTGGCACACTCGTCTTGCACATCGCATGGGCAGCCAGTGGCCCTGCTCTGGTATATCACCCCGTGCTCATCTTGTGTGGGCCAACCTTCCGCACCCCTGCACGGATTGTCGCCTGCGGGGGACCTGAGCCGATCATCTGCGTTGCACACAGGCTGCTGCTGAAGGCACACGCCCGCACCAAACTCGTCGCCAGAATGCCACCGAACCCTGCCACCCATGCCACCCATGCCACCCATGCCGTCCACGCCGCTCGTGTCTGATTCTCCCACTCGTCTAGTCGCTGCGCTGCCCAGGATACGAGGATCAACAACCGTGGCATTGCCGCCCAGGATAGGTGTCGTTGTAGCACTGCCCAGGATAGACGTCGCTACGGCACTGGCTGGATTCGGCCGAACGAACGAGACACTGGCCGGTTCGAGCACGCTCCTCCGGCTGTGGCAGGCATGCGGGATATGCCTGGGGCCCTGCTGTCGCATGTGAGCGGCTGTTGCGAAGCTAGTGGGACCTCCTGGGCTTGGGATTTTTCTCTTCTGTCCAGCGTCGCTTGCTGAGTTGGTGCCAGTACTGCTGAAAACGCCATGCACAGCGAATTCGGGGGCCCCACAGCTGCCACCACTGCCACTCCTCTCCCCGCCCGGTCCTCCCTTGCGTCCCCACCCACCTCCACCACGAGCCAATTGCAGAGCGCCATCTGGACGGTACCTGGGAGCAAACGTAGAAGCAAGGGCGGTCTCAAATAGCTTTGTTGATGTTCCAGCATCCGGAAGTGAGGAGAAAGCTGAGAGCCAGTGCTCCCCCTCCCCTCCTTCCAACTGCTGCTCCTGCTGCTGTTGATAATCCCGTTGCTGGTGCTCCTTCCGCCGCTTCCATAGGTTCTGCTGCTGCTGTCTCTGCTTCTGTTGCTGCTGCTGCTGCTGCTGCTGCTGCTGCTGCTGCTTCCGCCTCGCTTGCGTAGACAGGTGCTGCTCCTCTGCCTGTGTGCGCGCCCGCAGGAGAGCCATGAGCTGCGCGCTGTCGTCCTCTTTGTCCCCCCTTATCTGCAGCCTCGCCGTCACCCGGCTTGACAGCACCGCTTCCCCTGCCTTTGCCTCTGCCCTTGCGTCGGCAACTGCTGCTTCTGCTGTCCCTGCTGCTGCTGCTGCCTCTGGCTGCTGTGCTTTCAGCTGCTGAACTTCCACCTGCTGTGCTTCCTGCAGTCGCAGCAAGCGTTCAAGGTGCGAGAGCCCAGCCAGCATGCGCTGTATCTGCACCTTTCCGCTTGCGAGAAGGGAAGAGAGCGGAGAGTGCGGCGGTACGAGAAGGGAAGAGGGCGGAGAGTGCGGCGGTACGAGAAGGGAAGAGGGCGGAGACTGCGGCGGTACGAGAAGGGAAGAGGGCGGAGAGTGCGGCGGTACGAGAAGGGAAGAGGGCGGAGAGTGCGGCGGTACGAGAAGGGTAGAGCGTGGAGAGTGCAGCGGTGCGAGCGGGGAAGAGTGTGGAGAGCGCGATGGTGCGAGCGGGAGAAAAAGGTCGTCCATGGCGAGGAGTGCGGCAGGAGCGAGGGAGTCCGACGGTGGTGGTAACACCGGCGGTGCCCCTCCCATGCTGCTGCTGCTGGTGATGGTGGTGGTAGTGCCGTGGCTGTTGTGGGGAGAGTGCGGCAGTGAGAGAAGGGTAGAGTGTGGAGAGTGCAGCGGCGCGAGCAGGGAAGAGTGCGGAGAGTGCGGCGGTGCGAGCGGGAAAAGAAGATCGTCCATAGTGAAGAGTGGGGCGGTAGCGAGAGAGTCCGACGGTGTCCCTTCCGTGCGACGTCGTTCAGGTTGCGATGTTGTTCAGGTAGAGCCGTGCGACGTCGTTCAGGTAGAGCCGTGCGACGTCGTTCAGGTAGAGCGGTGCGGCGTCGTTCAAGAACTGGCAATACTAGAGGCCAGCGGTTGAGCCTGCGAGCGGGCCTTTACCGGCGGTGAAATGGGCAGCGGACGATATGACGCTAGGAGAGCCTCTCGTCTGAGCCGTCACAATGTGGCACTAGGAGTCTGCACAACTGGCATGAAAGGAGCTGAGATGAAACGACTTCGTTTCGGAAATGAGATGAAAGGCGGATGCGAATCTGGTACTAAGAACGAGACATTCTTCGAGAAATACTGCAACACTTTCTGGGAAGGATTGGAAGGGCACTCTTCCGCTCCGCCGCGTTTGTTGCGATCGCGGCGCCATCCCACCCGTAGGGTGAGTCGTGCGCCAATCGTGGCGTCCCCAGGCGGCAGACACGGGGCGCTCCGCCTCACATGATTGGGGCCACCACACCACGAGCTTTCGCTGTGACAGTATCGCCGCGCTGCACGTTCTTGGCGGCAGTCAACCGCCATCGCACGGGACGCACGCAGTTAGTACAGTACGATGTCGTGGAGGCACTAATCCACCACTAGTGCGTGGTTCGGTTCGATGCCTAGCAGCAGGTCGTGTTACAGTCTGGACCTCCATAGAATGCCGTCGACTGTGTAACTGTGCGAAATCAGAAGTTACACGTACAACAAACTCTAGGTGCGCTGGCAACGGTCAACCGCTCCGCATGCAGCGATTCATGATGGATGGAGCGCGCTGGATTTTAGATCTGGAAGCTTGGGCAGAAATCCAGTGACCGAAATAGTCGTGGTGTGACTCGTTAGTGAGCTGGAAGCTTGAGCCGAAAGCGAGTGAACCAGAAAGAGAGCTAGTGAGCTGTATCGAGAAGTACCAGCTAGGCCTACTGTACTGTACAGTCTGGAAAACCGACACGGAAGTTACCCTAGAAGCGCGGGAGGGGGGGCAAGCCCGAGGGAAATTGCTGCAAAATCACGAGGCCACAGCAGGAAATTTACCGTCCAGACCAGACGTCTGGAGTTTTGCTCGGTTTTGCCTGGTCTTCTGACCGGCCGTGATCACACTGACCCTGTTCGACAGGCAGGCAAGCCCTTCCGCGGAATCATCACGGCTGTTTCCACTTAGACTTTTTTTCTCACGGTCAGCCCGCAAATTGGTGTCACTGGGCCTTAGCGCCCTGCAACCTGAAGGGTTAAGGGTTAGGCTATCGAACGTGCCGTTAACCCTTCAACTTCATCTCCCCCGAAAGCTCCCAGCTCCTTCTCTCCCGCGCAGACTTTAGCCTAGCTCTAGCCCAGCCCTCCAATCCCCAGAAGGGAGGTTGGCCAAGGGCTAGGCTAGGGTTCCATACGGGAGGGAATACCCACCTCATACCCTACGAAAGTTTTCCCACCAGTGCCCATGCTCTCGCCTCTCCCATCTCTGCCCCTGAAAAAGTCCCTTCCTCACACAACCAAACCAGCCACCAGCCACGCACGACTCTCACTTCTCCACTTCTCCCTTGAGTTACCCAGGTTCCCATGCCATCCCTACGCAAAATTTTAGACCCTGCCCACAATGAAGATGGTGGAAGGAGGGGTTGCAACATCGCCATGACGACCCCCTCCTTCCGACCTCGGGAGGCGCTGCTTCCGATTTCGTGGGTGGGGGGGTAGCCTGGGAGAAGTTACTTCGAAAACTCCTCTTAGTTCTAACCTAACCCTAGCTCTCCAAGGAGGTGCCTGCCTGTCGAACAGGGCCACTAAATTGTGCACGACTCGCGACACGACACGAAATCTGGCGAAGCAGCAAACATCTCGCGACGGTGTTGTCCCACGGAGTGGCGATGATTTCCGAAATTGGTTTCCATGTTTCGAGGTGCTCCTATGAAGTAACAAACTGCAAGGGCTTGACCATTACTGTACCCGCGTGATCAGCGTGTTCTTTGATTCGACCCCATTGAACTAAACCCAGCAAGCTGGGTGTATGACGGTTGAGGGCGATGGGTGCATGTGGGACTGTGTTAACACTTACAATTTGGTCCTACTATGAGTATGCTCAGTGATTGAACACTATCCAGATTCATTCTCACAATATGTTCTCTGCACCAGCTGAAGTGTTTCAAAAAGACACCACTTATTGCCCCTGATAGACCATTCACTACATAATATCACAGCCATGAATCACCGCATCTAAACAGCAGATTTACCAATGCGGTCAAAGGCACTGATGCCAGCCACGCGGCCATACACCACACACTCAAGCAGGGAGTTACCACCCAGACGGTTTGCGCCATGCAGCCCACCTGTGTGAAGCACAAGAACACAAGCCATGAGCTCAACAGGCATACTAAGACGTGTACAAACGCCAACACTTGCATCAATTGGGAAACATCTGCTTCCGTGCGCATCTGTTACGTGAGCCTGACAATTTGTTCCACTCACCTGTCACTTCGCCGGCACCCAAGAGCCCTGGAATGGGCGTGCAATCTTCCTTGAATTACAGCCGCTGGTGTCAAAATCACCCAACCTTGCATCACGACAAATGGCAGCTGGTCACCTTTCACGTAAACCGGATTATCCTCATTGCTCACCTGTCACTTCGCCAGCTCCAAAGAGGCCAGGAATGGGCGAGCCATCCTCCTTGAGGATGCGGCCGCTGGTGTCAAACTTGAGCCCTCCCATGCAGTAGTGCAGCGACGGCGTGATGATGGCCACGTACAGCGGGGGCTCCGAGGAGCTGCACGCGAGGGAGAGACACAGGAGGGGACAGGGTGTTGGTGAAGCGGTGGGAAGTTGAGATGGAAAAGAGGGACGTTTGACTTGAGCCCTCCCGTGCAGTAGCGCAGCGATGGCGAGATGATGGCCACGAACAGTGGAGGCTTCGAGGAGCTGCACGTGAGGGAGAGACATAGGCGGGGACAGGGTGATGGGTGAAGCGGTAGGAAGTTCAGATGAGACAAGGAAAAGTTTGACTTGAGCCTCCCATGCAGTAGCGCAGTGACGGCGAGATATGGCCATGTACAGTGGGGGCTCCGAGGAGCTACAAGGGATGGGGACATGCAGGGGCAACAGGGATGGATGGGTTTGGGAGAGGAGAGGTGGCGAGGTGGTGCGGAGTTCAATGGGAATGGGTTAGAGGATAACAAGAGCGCGGAAGAAAACAACCCACTGGCCAAGGCAAATGACTCAGGTAACCTGTTGGTGCAGAGGGTGCTGTTACACAAGGACATTTAGGACTTTTGAGGCGCCTCAAAAGGCATGGAATGAGCTTACCGAGCGGAGCATGTAAGACTTCCAAGGCACTTAGTGAGCTTACGGAGTGGAACATGCACGACTTATGAGGTGCCTCAAAGGAAGGGAATTGAGGCGGAGAGCACTCACTTGAAGAGCACAGGGAAGACGGTCTTGCCGAAGGGGTCGCCCTTCTCTGCGTCATGGTGGCCGTACGCGTCCAGAGCAGCCTTCACGTTGGCTGCTGGCAGCTTGGTGCCCTCGCTCAGTGCCTCCACGCTGTCAAACTGGGCGGGATAAGGCACGCCGGGGCGAAAAGGTGGGGGGGCAGGGGAGGAAAGAGAGAAAAAGTGGGTCACAAGAACAGAGGAGAGTGGGGTCTGAATGAAGAAGGTGAGGTGGGCTGGGTGGAAACATAAAAGGTGATAACTTTGTTGAAATCACAACTGGCCTGCGCATGGCAATCAGCCATCTTCCATTGCTCTAGGCACCGCCTGAATGAACTGCCCATGGCAAGGCGCCTTTGTTGAAAGGATTTCAGTGCAAATAGTTTCGTGACAGATAGTGACTGTCAACAGCTGAACTCCTGACTTAGCTTGAGATACGGCATTATTCCAAACCGATGTTCACATCCCTGCCCCGTTGCTTCGCTCCTGCACCCACCCGCCTTTCTCACCCTCCTGCATCACCCTCTTCCTTTACACTCCCTCCCCATACCCGCACCTCACCTTGCGGATAAGCCCCTTGCCGATGTAGAACTGGCAGGAGAGCGGGTCGAACTTGTTGATGGCCTCCTGGTTTAGAATCAGGTACGACACAGCGGGCATGTCCGCGCCCCCTGCTGGCGCGTCTGGCACCTCCGGGAGTGGGCCGCAGTGCTTCAGAATCGCCTCCACCACCTGAGAGCAGACGGAAGGCGGTGAAGGAAGTATGTAGAGTGGGGAGTTAAGCGGTGAAGGCAAGCCAGGAGGATCATTAAGTAATGCCCACCCTTTCCACCCTTCCCACCTTGCTCTGTCTGCCCAACCTTGCCGCCCTTTCCACCCTTCCGGCTCTTCCCAACCTGCCTCCCCACCCTTCAAAGTTGCCACCCTTCCCACCCTGCCCCCCCTTCCCGCCCTTCCCATCTTTACCACCCTTCCCATGTCCCACCCTCCCCACCCTTGCCAACCTACCCACCCCTCCCACCCTGCCCACCCTTCCTGCGCCGAACCAGATCTCGCAGAAATCCTCGCCTCTGTGCATCTCTCACATCCCTTTCCCCGCCTGCCACCATTCCCTCGCCCCAGCCCACCTCAGCTTCACTCACCGACCACTCCTCGCAGTCAGTCCGCTCGTGTACTCACCGCGTCCCTGGTAGTCAACTCGTTGACGAAGCGGCCCTTCTCATTCTAAAGAATCCCGCCTCATCCGCGCAGGGCTTCGGGCGCGAGGAACTTGACGGGGTTGCGCGGGTCCTTGGGATCCACGTACCCCGTCGGGTGCAGCTGCACCTAATCCAAGTGCACCAGCCCCGCGCCCGCACCCATTCCCACTTCCACCCATATCTCCCTTTGCCCTCTCCCCTCTGCTTCATCACTCGTGGCGCCCATCCCTCGCAACAGCTCGATTACTCACAGCGTCTCTCGTAGTCAGCTCGTTGACGAAGCGGTCGCCCTTCTCATTCAAAAGAATACCGCCGCATCCGCGCAGGGCCTCGGGCGCGAGGAACTTGACGGGGTTGCGCGGGTCCTTGGGATCCACGTACCCCGTCGGGTGCAGCTGCACCTGATCCATGTGGATCAGCCCCGCGCCCGCCGCCACGCCCAGTCGCACGCCGTCGCCCGTCGCGAACGGCCCGTTGGTGGTCGCCAGGTTTCGCAGCTTAGGAGTGTGCTGGTCCAGCAGACCTCCCTCGGCCTTGTCGGCGGAATAGCCGCCTGTGGCGAGGATGACTGCGGACGCCTTCACCTCCGTCTCTTCCTTGCCGCCCTGAGGAGGGGAGGGGTGCGGTGGGAGGAGGAGGAGACGGGAAGGGGAAGCAAGCAGGGTGACGTTGAGGGCAGACAGCTTTTGTTGTTTTGCTCTTCTATCAAAGGCGGTTTCTCAACGGCTATTGCCACTCAAGTATTTTTTGCTTCTCAACGCACTACGGGCGGAAATTCTACAGCTGCCCGTGTATGTAATTTTCGTCACATCCGCTACGCGGTAACTTGTGTGTGAGACGTGCTGCCAGGACCCGCCCACTTACAGATCCGTCAGCCGCGGGGGTCTCGTACTTGACGCCGGTGACGGCGCCGCTGTCGTCTGTGAGAAGCGCGGTCACACGGGCCTGCTTCACCACCTTGGCCTGCAACAAGCACGCAGAGAGACGACGAGACGACACACACGCACGGAACAAGAATGAGCCACGAATGGGAAAAGCGTGGGACTAATGAGTGACGATGGAAGCATGACGGAAGGGCAGCAGGGACGCGGGGAACGAAACACACCGCGAACGAACCCATCGCCACAGCAAACGAATCCACACGCCACAGCGAACGAACCCATCGCCAGAAATCTGACGTACCTTATCGGCAGGAAGGGCTTCGACGTATTTGATGAGCACGGACATGATGCGGAAGCCGATGTTCATGGGCTTGCCGTCGGGCTTGGACCTGTGCGTGCGCGGATGCTGCTTCGCCGCAGCGGCAGCAGCAGCGGCGGCGAGCAAGGGGCGACGCAGCAGGGAGAAGAAGGGGGACAAGAGGAGAAGGGAGTTCAAGGAAAAAGGCTCAATTGACCTTCCTACATGGAACATTTTCACAAGTGTACGGACCAATCCCTTTTTGTTTTGGAAGTGGAAGTGGAAGTCATGGAAGTGCAGAGCGAACCAGACGAGATGGGGCTCTTTACCATGGATACATAACGAGGGCTTCGAACTCACCGAGTGGCCGCCGAGTTGCGCGATGCTGGAGAGGTCGATCTGGAAGCCCTCGAGGAACGCGACGGCGTCCGCGCTCTGCTTCACAATCACGTCCACCAATGCCATGTCCGATAGGCCCTTGCCGGACCTACAACGAATAGAAAGGAACGCGCGAATCGTGTGAAATGCGCAAGCACACGATGAGAGGACCAGAACATGAGGACTGACCGTCACGAAAACATTTGTTCGGAGCTCCATTTGATGACAAAAGAAGGACAGACGGGACGAACGGCTACAGACGGGAGAGGACTCACTTCTCGGTGTCCTTGGCGAAATCTTCCAGTTTGTCCTCGATGCCACTGGCAAGCTGGGGCCCACTGCGAGCAGCGTTCATTCCTAATGGAGAAAGAATCAAAAGAAAAAATGTAGGGGAAAAAACACTGAGCCATTTGATGCAATTGTCATCATTCATAGCCACATTCAGAGCAAACATTTGCCTTTCGAACGTTGCGATGCAAGAGTTAGGCTGAAAACGGCAATGAAAGACGGAGGGGTTGATGCTCACCAGAGCTCGCCTTGCCAGAGTTCCCGCCAAGCCTGCAAGGTAATCAGAATCATTGAGAACGCCGGATCACAAACAAGTGGTTCAAGACGATGAGAAACGTTGGTACAAGAAATGGCCGAATCCGTGACTCAAGGGAAAGAAAGAAAGAAAAAAAGAAATGAGAATAAGCAGCTTACTGTTCGCTCAGCAACGCTCAGCAACTGACCGCTCGCTCTTTTCGAGGACGAGGACGGATCCACCTCGCTTGACGACTTCCACGGCAGCAGACAGGCCCGCAAGGCCGCCTCCCACCACCACCACGTCAGGGAAAGTAGCCATTTTTGTCACTGCAAGCAGCCGCGAGTACAGCGAAGGACATTAGGAATAATATATTGAAGCGCAGACGAAAGATATTGACAATGATGCATCCTCTCGCGAAGAGAAAGGTGGAGAAGAACATGATCAACATGCGAGCCGTTATACCCCATGAAGGTAAGAAACGAACTCGTGAAGCAGATCTACAGGTCTTGATGCGTAATGAATCGGAAGCAAAGAACGGAAACCGGAAGAAGGCGGAGGCTGGAATCCGATTGCAAACGAAAGAAGATGTCATAGAAACATTATTCTAGGCACCCTGCGATGAAAAAAATAGAGAAATACTGAGTATCTGATTCCAGAAGTCGAGAATGTCACCTTCAGTTACAGAACCGGCTTTTTCCGATTGCAAGTCAGCTGTGGTTTTGAATTGGTCGCTCAGAGGTTGAACAACAGCGCTGGGATTCAGATCAACGGTAAAGGCGTTGCCAGGGACTTGAATGGCGAGGGAGCAGCAGACGAGGACTAGGAGCAGAAGCACCACGCCCTGCACGTGGTGGGAGTTGAGGAAAGACATGGGGGAATTCATCTGCCACGTGGCATCAGCTGTCAGGGGAGACGCGTTGTCTGTCGATGATCTCAAGGAAACTGTACTCTCTTTAGCGTGCGAGGGAGTCGAGATTCGTCTGCTGGCCATGACATGACGAGACGAGCAATCGACCACTTCATGCCGCATGAATAAAGGGCTAAGCAAGAGCAGGCAGATGCCAGGTTTCAGAGGTCGTACAATAATAGTTCAGTCGACCCTTGATATTGTTAAGCGGTGCTGTTGTGCAGCGGAAAGCTTTTCTGCAGCGGAAAACTTTACTAATGGAGTTGCAAGTAGGAATGAAGGAATGTGCTATGTTGTGTTTGGTATTATCATGAAACTACCATGCTGCTGGCAGGGAGGGGAGAATCGGGCATGAAGGTCTGCTGGGTGGTTGGTCGGTTCAAGGAATCACCACCAACACCCCATTGCACGCATTCTCTGGATGACGTGTTAGTTTCGTGCAAAACCGCCTGCCCGGATCGAGCCAATCCTGCACGACTCTGAAGTTATTGTGACTACTCAGACGGGGAGTCTAGATTGATTCGTTTCCATGTATCCCACCTGCCTTGTTTACCACAGCCAAGTGAAGACCCTTGTGACCTGTTTTGACGAGTTTTTTCAGTCTGGTAGAGCTGACCGTCAGTACACACTTCTTTGCGCAGAATGCTTCGCCAGCCAATCACCAGTCAATCTCTACACAAATTCAGCAACCGCCTCGAGGATCTCTCTGTCTCCCTGCTTCGTATCTCCCAGATTCCAGGGGAATTGGCTGAGTCGGAGCCTTGCGTGGCAAGGCGTGGTTACACATTCCAGCACAGATTCATAATGCTGGCATGTCAAATTTTCATCAGTTATTGCAATTCCGGTATTATATTCATCCTAGTTCGCTGTAAATTCCAGCCCAAGCCTTCTCTTGAACGGTTCTTCAAGTAAACATACGAGCTGCCTTTTGCTTTCGTAGAATTTGCTCATCAAGGAGTTGTGAAACATAATTTACTTTGCACTGGCAATAAAATTTGAAAAGCCTGTATTCACATTGGCTTGAACGAAGTAAATACGGTAGGTTACTTCACAGCAACATGTCTCACAAAATTGTGATGGGCATACGGTAATGTCCATGCTCCACCTCGTGCAGTGTGCTCTTTCAAGTACGAGTCACTCATGCACTCTGCTCTTCCTAGTACTGGTCTCTCCCGGCCTGTAATGACACAGCCCTAGAAAAATCACCTCTCTAGAACCCACCATGTGTTGCCACGTGCTCCACCTCTTCCGCTGTGCTCTCCCTCCGCAGCACGTCATTCCTGTGGGGAAACCGACCAAACTTGACAATGATGTCACGGTGTTTGTGAGCAAAGCCCACCCACCCGGACAGGGAGTCCTTGAGTGGGCCTTCTGGTGCCTCTGCTACTGACTCCGACAGCAGTTGCACACACAGGTCCTGGTCTGCTATATCTGGTGAGTGAGGAGGGGGAAGGGGGGGAAATGAAAAGGAAGATTTGAGTTACTGTATGACAAAAAAATGAACACTTGAAGAGAGTGCCTGGTGATTCAGCTGCTGACTCTGATAGCAGCTGCACACAGAGGTCTTGTTCTGCTAGGTCTGGTTGGGGGAAAAAGACACGAGAAGTTTGAGAACCGAGCATCAAACTGGGATGAATTCAAACCATCTGAAACTCAATCTCAGATGCTTAAAAACGAACTGATCAGCGCTCCCCAAACATATGTTCCAAAACGGCTAAAAAAACAGTAAACTGCCTGGAGCTTGTATCTACAGAGCATCTAAGATTGACCCACCTTCTGAATGCATAAATGGCAGGTAGAAAAAGGACCGAATACGAAGGTGAAATTGCTTGTTGAATCCCTTGGCTATGGCCCTGCATTGCACATAACAAAATCCATCTCTTGGTGAGGACAAGCAGCCGCAATAAAAACATGGCACTTCCACACAAACTCCAGGGTCATGAACAAAAAAGAGGAGTAGAAGCACATCAGCAATGAAACTCGTTAGATATGAGAATTGGATACGGGCAGCACAGAGCGCAGCTTGGAGAAGATATTTGCTTGGATAAATAAGAAAGTGACTCAAGTTTAACGGCACGAGCTGTTAGAAAGAGAAAAGAAGGAGCAGAGAGCCAGTTTTGACTGCACAACAGGGTGCTCTAAAGGTGCGATTACAAAGGGACTGAATTCAGTCACCTTTTTGCGACTTCACGGGCCAACGCGTCCTGTAGCAGGGATGGAAGGACGTGTGGGAAAGTACGAAGAAGGGGAAGGTAAACAATTTAGACTCAGCCCAGGAAGAGCCCTGAAGAGGGATTTCCAGGGAGGGAGGAGGGAGGTTATGGGAAAGGACGAGGAGATGCAGATGAAAAGGAAGACTATTCTGTGAGTCACGGAAGAGTTTGGAACGACAATCAGTTGGTCAGATTGCGAAAGAAAGCGACTCGATGCAATGATTGTAATGATGGTGCATGTTGGAATGAAGGTGGCATCGCTTGTGGTGCCATCACAGGGAGATAGAGTCGAGATAATGAAAGACTGTCTGAATTATAGTAGTAGTGAGTATTTGAGGTACATGCTGCAGAGGGTGAAGAGGCTCTTGACGGTTTAGAGATGACAGTGAGCTCTAGATTGTAGGAATTGCAGTGACGTGGACGCTGATTGCAATGACGTGGATAAGCGTTGCGGAAGGTGACGTCAGCACTCACCTGAGCAAAGGAGTCAGGCGATCCCCTGAGGCTGTTCCTCGTAAACTGGTCCAGCAGCACGACCAATGCCAGCGAGCCACGTGGCGTGTCTTCCCAGCCTGCCAGCTGGCCTGACGCAGCGAGCGGGATGAGGGGGGCGAATCTGGCGCGGATAAAAGCGTCCACGTCAGCATCTTTGCGGAACCAGAGAGATTGCTTGGCTGCCACGACATCATCTTCTGGTGCTGGGCCCTGCCAAGGAGCAATAAGAGGGTTGGAAGCACAAGAAAATGCTACGTTTGGAAAGGGGGTTGGGAGTTGGGAAAAACTTACTTCAATTCAAAATAATGCTTGGCTTGGAAAGAGATTTGGTACTGCCATTTTCTCACAGCATAGTCAATTCGTTATTAAGAATTCTCTGAAACCGACTCACAGCATAATCAGGCGCCATGAAGTCGCCGAACCAGTACACGAGAATCTCGTCAGCTGCCTTGTCCACGTCAGCAGGCGTCACCCCGCTGCTGCTCGTCGCTACCGGACCGTCGGAAGCCATTGCTGCCGTCACTGTGGCGGTAAAGTGCCGGCGTTGGTTACGACCGGCAATAAATTTAAGAGCTGGAGGATCTCTGTGAGCGACAGGCGTGGCCGTGGACCCTGACCAGATGTGTTTTTTCTTGATGGCGACGCTGTTGTCGCAGCAGCAGCTACAGATGCTACTGCTGTTGCTGCTGGTAACCCTGTAACTGCTAACACTAGATCTTGACAGTCCGCCAATCCCTGAATGAAATTGCGTGGTAACAGAAAATTTCAAGGGTAGATGCACAGGCACCCGTTGAGACCTTGAAATATCGGCTCTCTTTGACGAATCTGGGCAAGAGAAGCGGAATTGCGAAAATGGAAATATTATTTCAATCGCCGAGGCTTGTCTAGCTCTCGAAAATACCGAGGCTTCGAGTCTAATGGCGAGCATCGGGCTGAAACGCTTTTCCGAATAACCGGCTGTCTCAGACCCAACGGCTAATACTGAAATTCCGGCAAATGCGTTTGATAGAGGCGCGCAGCCTAGGCTAATGAGCAGAAGTCAGAATGGATCTTGTCTAGAGATTTCCTCATGTGGCAGAGCAGACTGTAGTGTGAAGTGAGGTGCTGCCTCGGCGGTAGCAATTGGGAGGTTCTTGAAGTTGGCAAGAATAGTGGAACCACACATCGCATCATTGTAGGCGCGGATATGGAATTCGGAATTTGATAAGACTTCGAATCTTGGCTAGGTTTGAAAGGGTTCAGATTGTTCTAGTACGGTCAATTCAGACTTCGTAATTTTGCCGTTCTGAACCGTTCATAATCGCCTCATACTTAGCTAAAATTTGGATAGCACTCTGATTTTCAGACTGGATAACGCCTTTCACCGTTTCGAACCGCTCTAATCACACTTCTGACCGGAGAAACTGCCCTGGAGAATATCGGTCAAAGCAAGGCAAACTGCCCCAGCAGCCCCGAAAACCAGTGAAATATGACCTGCCTCGTGCGCGGTGCAGCTCGGTTGGTCCAAAGACTTCTCAATTCTCTGCCATGAAATGTATCAATAGGGAAAAACATTTTATGTGGGTGTTCACTTTAAGGCGTGGATTACCGTATGCATGGCACTAATATATTTCCTACGGTACGTATATCCGAAGTAATGTTCCGACCTAAGGCAATTGCTGACGTGTGGGAACAATCTCTTCCCTCCAACCCAATGCTATTGCGGCTCAGCGGCAGTTTCGGCTCCTTCCTCTTCCACTGCGTTTGAAACACACACCCATCACAACCACGCCATGAAGAATATCAGAAGTAGAGCATGATAGCTTCCACTGCTTTCATATATAAACGAAATATGGTACAGTACATGCATCAGGTAATGGCTGAAATCTGTGAGGAAACATGGAAGTTAAAAGTGCAGTCAGGTTGATTCATAGGCCATGATGATGGAAGGTGGAACGGCATGATGTGTGCATGCAGAGATCTGAGTGAAAGTACATGCGAGAGAGAGAGAGAGAGAGAGAGAGAGAGAGAGAGAGAGAGAGAGAGAGAGAGAGAGAGGGAGAGAGAGAGAGAGAGAGAGAGAGAGAGAGAGAGAGAGAGAGAGAGAGAGAGGAGGAAGGGGTGGGGGGGGAGGGTGGGGAGAGAGAGAAGTAGAGAGGGATGAGAGAGGGGGAAGGAGTAACAGAAGGGAGGCATTCAACTACCGTGATCCTTGTGGGCTTCAACATCCTTGGGCGACGTCAATGATTTTAGCTCCTCTCGTTTGGCAGATCCTCCTCCCCCACTACCACGGTAGTTTTGCTTCACAGTAGACTGCTGGTACATCACCCCACCAACGATTGTAATGAATAGACATAGCACTCCAAACGGGGATGCGTGCTTATCCCATATCATCACGTTGATGACGACAGTCAGCAGCTTGTTCGTCACGCCAAGTACAGTAAACGCCGTGGCTGAAATCGCTTTTCTGCACGCGAAACCGAAGAAGCTTATAGCGAGGCCGAACGCGCAGGAAAGCAGCACAGGGAAGACGATCCCGAATTCCCACGACGCCGTGCTCGCGGCTTTAATCGTATCGCGAAATTCTCCCGTGATCATCCAGAAAACGGGAGCCATGAGGAGGGAGAGGAAGTTGTTGTAAAGGACGAAACCCCAGGTGTTCAGTCCCAGGCTGGTGACTATATGCTTGATGTACACCATCTCGAATGTGATTGTAAAGAGGTAAGCGAAGGCCCAGGTGTAAGCTCGGACGGTGTATTGGCTGTCTGTAAACACGTACCCTACAGCTCCCACTAGAATCACTACCAGCGCGCCCAGAGTGTAAGGCCCTGGCCATGGCTGCTTCCTGAATAAGTAATCGGCGAACGCGACGAGGAGGGGCGTGGAGGATCGGAAGATGATGAAGGTGTCGACATTTGCGTAGCGAAGCAGCGAGGTGTTGGTGAAAATCGCCATGTAGAATACGAAAGCGGCCGGAATGAATTTTTTGATCATGTCCCATCGGATCGGGTCGTGGACTAGGAGTTTAAATTGACCGGATGTGACGACGGCGACGACGCATGTGAGGTACTGGAGAGAGGTTAAGAGGCTCGGGTAAGGAAAGACGCCGATGGCGAATTTGTTGATGATTGCGAGGAGGCTGGAGCAGAGAGCGTAACCGACGGCTAGCGGGAGAGCGGTTAGGTCGCCTAAGTTGATGTTGACGCCGAATAGCTTGACGCTCGTGTTCTCCTTGTACCACGGCGCCATTGCTGACGTGTCAACGGTAGAGCAATTGCCGTTTTACTGGCTGATCGGCGACGGGACGAGACTAGCGACCAGCGTCAACACCATGAGCGGGATCTACAATGGCAGCACGAACCAGTGACGCTTTATGGACCTCCATAAATTACGCGCACGAAGCAGGCTTCAAGTCGTAGGCAAATAGCATGGGAAAGACGTGATGCATAGGAGATCAATCATAGGTTAGGTGGAGTGGAGCATCTGATAAGGGCTGGTGAAGTGAGCACGCAGAGGCGGGTTGGAGAAATCAGGAGTGTGCTGTGGGTAGTGGTTTTCCACACGGTAAACATCGGTTCTTGGCAAATCCGTGCTGGACATTTCCTGTGAGCTGGTTTGATGCGGTAGCGGTTCGATGCGGTTTGGTGTGAATAGAATCAGGCCGGAGTTGCAAATTTGCATAATTTGCTACAAAAGTCCACCACAACCCACATATGAAACATGTGCTGAATCTTGTACTGGAGCAACCCAAAACGAATTTGGAGGGAAGAGGGAATGATCAGCACTTGATGCCTGTCGGTCCTTCGGGATTTGGTTCCTAGAAATTTGTTCCTCAAGCAGCCATTCAGGACAGTGAAAGCTTCTATTAGTGTCGCAGGCTCGTGTGTTGAACTATCATCAGTTTCGAATACATTCCGTATTTTCTTGCACGAAAATATGGCGGTCGACTCGCAAGAAGCCATCCGCCTGGCGTTCCTTCTCGAGCCAGGCCACAACGTCAGCAGTACGGATGGTTTTGATTATCTTGGCACCCGACGGTTTCTTCTTAAGACTAAAGCTCAAGACGCGACCCTCCAGCGACACGTAGGTGATCATAATGATGCCTCCGGATGTCATATTGTAACTCTCGATCCATGTACAATGCTCAAACGGCAAAGATACGCTTCGACCCGCATTGAGTCTATATTTATGATACGACATTAGACGCTTGTTCTGCGATCTCCGAATACTTTGTCGACGTGGATGGCTGAGGTCTGCTCTTCCCTATCTCGACATCGTTGTTGAACGTGGTAACCACACCCTCCCCTCGCAGTCCCCTCGCACTCCCCTCGCCTTTCCCTCGCAATCCCCTCACACTCCCCTCTCACTCCCCTCACACTTCCCTCCCGCACCCCAGCACTGGCAGCACGTGTCAGGAGTGGGCTACGCCGATTTCCGCGCCTTCCTGCGCGCCCAGCGGGACACGTGGCGGCAGGAGCGCGAGGCAAGCAGGGAGGAGGAGTGGCGCGCAGCACCCACAGCGCCCCATGCTGACGTGGCTCCTCCAGAAGCTGATGCAGGGCAGAAGGCTCAAGGGAAGGTCGATATGGGGGAGGTTAGCATGGGGGAGGAGGTTGATACGGGGAAGGCTGGTATCGGGGAGGTTGTAGGGGAGTTGGGAACGGTTCAGGCAGACGGGATGACAGTGGCTGATGTCCGTGGGGAAGAAGAAGAAGAGTCGGAAGAACGGCTTACGAAGCCTGCAGCAACTGAGACTGTTGTGGCAGGAGGACAGAGTACTGTTGCTGCTGATTCGAGTGCTGGTGCTGGTGGTGCGGATGATGCTGGTGGTGGTGCTGCTGCTTCTGCTTCTGCCGTTCCCGATGTTGCTGCTGATGCTACTACTAAGACCTCCCAAAGCACTGACACGGCTGCTCTTTTCGCGAGTGGTAGTGCTGCCGGCTCCATAGCTGCTGCTGTAGCAGCAGCACTTGGAAAGCCAGAACCTGCGCAAGTTACTCAACCAGCAACAACCGCGCATGTTGCTGCTGCATCCTCTAAAGCTGCTGCTCCCACTTCTGATGGGCCTGAGGAGCAGAGGGAAAGCGGAATAGAGGAGGAGGTGGCGATACGGATCAGCGCAGCCAGTGGCGCAGGTGCTGCTGGTGTATCTTCTGATGCGCGCACGGACAGGGAGAGAGGGGACGAGGAAGGTGGGAATGAAGTTGCATCATCATCATCCGCAGCAGTGGAGGAGGAAGAAGAGGAGGAAGTAGGAGTAAAGAGACGAGACGGAGGAGCGGGGTTGGCAGCTTCAGCAGCAGCAGCAGATGTAGCAGCAGAAAATCAAAGGGACAAGAAGGAACAGCAGGGCAGCAAGCACAAGGACGGCAAGCAGGACGAGAGCAAGCACAAGGACGGCAAGCAGCCGCCGTCCCCTCCGGCCCTCCCTGCTGGCTTCACCTCCTCCATCTGCAGCGTTCCCCCAGAAGCTTCTCGGAACGTTCTTCCTCCTCCTCCTCCTCGGCCTGGGGCAGCAGGGGAAGCGGAGGGGAAGAAGGGTGCGAGGAGAGGGAGTGAAGGGGCAGGGAGCGAGGGGGGTGCGGGGAAGGCGCTGGAGAGGAGGAGATCGGCAGGGGAGGCGGTGGCAGGGAGGGGGAGTGGGGAGGTGGGCCCACCTGTGCGCATGTGTGCTGTCTTCGATGATTGCCTCGCTTCAGGTGCGACACTGACACTGACACTGACACTGACTACCTATTTGTTCTGGGAGAAGGTTCAAAAGTAAACCTCGTTTTCAGTCCAACAACCATCCGACGTTCGATACTTTTCTCATATGTGGCCCTTTGTCGTCCTCTTATCTTTCTGCATCTTTTGAGTCGACTCAAAAGTCAGCTCTTGTTTTCAGTCCAACAACCATCCGACATTCGATACTTTTCTCATATGTGGCCCTTTGTCGTCCTCTTATCCTTCTGTGTCTCCCCTTCCGCCTCAGAAACCACCTCTCGCACTACTCTCTCCATCCATCCTACCACCTCCTCTCCTCATCACCCTTCCCCGCCCCTCCCTTCCTCCCTTCTCCTCTCCTTATCGCATCGTCTTCCCTTCACTGAACGATGTTCAGTTCACCTGGCACCACCCTGACCTGACCTGCTGGCATACGGGCTGCTTGCGCCAAACGCACCTCTTTCCACTTCACCCCCCCCCTTTTCTCCACGCCCCCTCCCTCCCTGCAGTGAACAAGGTGCAGTTCGCCCGGCACCACTCGGATCTGCTTGCTCGCGTGCACGGGGGCAACGTGTCAAGCCAACGTGTGCCTACTGCCCCTCCCTGACCTGCTTGCGCCAAGTGCACTTCTTCCCCTCCCCTCTCTCCCCCTCGGCCAGTGAGCAAGGTGCAGTTCGCCCAGCACCACCTTGCTGCTCGCCCGCCTATGGTGCAACGTCTGCCTAATGCGCCCCACTCTCCACCACCACGATGAAAAACCCTTCTCTCCCTCCCTGCAGTGAACAAGGTGCAGTTCGCCCGGCACCACCCTGACCTGCTCGCCTACGGGGCAGCGGACGGCACGCTCCGGCTGTGCTATGTGCCGTGCAGCCGGGGGGGCAATAAGTCAGGTGGCGCAGGGGGGAAGCGGGGCGCTGCGAGTGTAGCTCGAGTGAAGCACGAGCTTAAAGGGCACACCAAGGAGGTGACTGGTGAGTGAAACAAAATCAGACTTTTGAGACGTCTCAAAAGGAGGTGACTGGTGAGTGAAACAAAATCAGGCAGACCCATCCTTCTGTGGAGTCGCTCCCCCTTAAGTTGGCTCAACACTCATGGGAAAGGAGAGAGGGGTGCTGTGAGCGTGGCGCGAGTGAAGCACGAGCTCAAGGGACACACCAAGGAGGTCACTGGTGAGTGAAACATCTGCCCCCCCCACTCACTCACCTCTTTCTTCCTCCCCCTAGTGAACAAGGTACAGTAACAGTTCTCCCGGCACCACCCGGACCTGCTGGTCACCGTGACCTCGTGAGTGAAACCCGTCCTGCCGGGTGGAGTGGAACCACTCCTCGCTTTCAAGCTTCAAGGACGGCCACTCTTCTGCCTACGCACTTCAAGATTCACATTGGGTGCACGACGGGCAGAGCCGGTGCAGCAAGAGGATGAGTCTGCAGGCAGTCTGTGTGCTCCACTCCACTCTCTCCACCTATGAGCAATCTTATTCTCTTGCTGCACCTGCCCGCCATTCATCCCATCCCACCCACGTGGCAGACTTTGCTTGGTCGACAGACGACGACTACATGTGCTCGTCGTCGGCGGACAAGAGTGTGCGCGTGTGGGACGTGGGGTCGGGGCAGTGCCTGTGGATCATCCACCTACCCGGGACTTGAGTCGCCTCTTTTTCTGCTGTGTGATCCACTCCACTCCACCTATGACCAGTCTCATCTCTTGCTGCACCCGCCCGCCCATCCATCCCACCCACCCACCCGTGCACACATCCATCCACGTGGCAGACTTTGATTGGTCCACGGATGACGACTACCTGTGCTCGTCGTCGGCGGACAAGAGTGTGCGCGTGTGGGACGTGGGGTCGGGGCAGTGCCTGCGCATCATCTACACAGTCATTCCACAGACCTGCATCATCTTCCACCCGGTACGGAGGAATGCGCAGACTTGCATGCATGAGTTTGCACCCACCCAGTTATTACCCATACACGCAGGATGGACGGGGCATGAATGTGTCAGTGCTCTCATGCATGAATGTGGCAGTGCTCTCATGCATGAATGTGGCAGTGCTCTCATGCATGAATGTGGCAGTGCTCTCATGCATGAATGTGGCAGTGCTCTCATGCATGAATGTGGCAGTGCTCTCATGCATGAATGTGTCAGTGCTCTCATGCATGAATGTGTCAGTGCTCTCATGCATGAACGTGGCAGTGCTCTCATGCATTTTGGGTCGAGGCAGTGCCTGTGCATCATCTACACGCTCATTTCCCAGGCCTGCATCATTTTCCACCTGGTAAGGACGGTTTATTCCCCAGACATGACTTACACAACACGTGCGGGGACATGCAGCGGTCTCACACATGTGGGGTCGCGGCAGTCCCTACGCATCATCTACACGCTCACTCCGCAAACCTGCAAACCCGGTAATGACTCATTAGGAGCTGACAGCAATGCACTCAGCATGGGGCTAGTGGTGAACTGTGCCGCTCAGCATGGGGCTAGTGGTGAACTGTGCCACTCAGCATGGGGCTAGTGGTGAACTGTGCCGCTCTCTCCTGCTCCCATCCCTCCCAATTTCCTCTCATCAACCCTCCTCCCTCGCTGGTAGCAGAACAACAACTTTCTGGTGGTAGCGAACAGCAAGAGGGAACTGACGGTAATGAACTTCAGCATGGGGCGAGTGGTCAGCCGCGTGACTCTCTCCTGCTTCCATCCCCACCATCCCTGCCTTCCCTCTTCTCCCACTCCAACCCTTCCACTCACCAGCAAATCAATAACTTAACTTCCTGGTGGCGGTGAACAGCAAGCGAGAGCTGACGGTAATAAACTTCAGCATGGGGTGAGTGGTCAGCCGCGTGGCCATGGACAGCAACGTCCGTTCCCCCTGCCCCTTCCCACCTTCCCCACTTCCACCTCACTCCACTCCCTTCCCCCTCTCAGCAAAACAACAACTTCCTGGTGGTGGCGAACAGCAAGAGGGAGCTAACGGTGATGAACTTCAGCACGGGGCGAGTGGTGAGCCGCGTGGCCATGGACAGCAACGTCACTGCCCTCGTCGCTGATCGGACCACCATCGCCTCCTCTGCAGCAGCTGGTTCTGCCACCACCAGCGGCAGCAGCGGTGGAGGAGGCGGAGGAGGAGCGACGAGCAAGGCTGGAGCAGCGGCGGCGGCGGGAAGCGGTGGGTTTGGAGGGGGAGCAGGGGAGGCGGACAGTGTGGTGTTTGTGGGGGACAGTGAGGGCGCCATTCACAGCTTCACAGTGGACAAGCAGTCGGGCGCTCTGCTGCGCCGCCACAAGACCGTTGCTGGCGTCGTGCACCCGGCGCCAGTGGCTTCTCTGCACTACAGCCCGACATCCGTGCTGGCGAATGGGCCGGTGCTCCTGGCATGCAGCAAGGATGGCTGCGTGCGCTTCTACACGTGAGTATTGGTGGGGAGGTAGACGGTAGTGGGTTTGGTGGGGTTGCAAAGGAGGCGGACAGTGAGGGACAGTAAGGGACAGTGAGGGACAGTAAGGGACAGTGAGGGACAGTAAGGGACAGTGAGGGACAGTAAGGGACAGTGAGGGACAGTAAGGGACAGTGAGGGACAGTAAGGGACAGTGAGGGACAGTAAGGGACAGTGAGGGACAGTAAGGGACAGTGAGGGACAGTAAGGGACAGTGAGGGACAGTAAGGGACAGTGAGGGACAGTAAGGGACAGTGAGGGACAGTAAGGGACAGTGAGGGACAGTAAGGGACAGTGAGGGACAGTGAGGGACAGTAAGGGACAGTGAGGGACAGTGAGGGACAGTAAGGGACAGTGAGGGCGCCATTCACAGCTTCACGGTGGACAAGCAGTCGGGCGCTCTGCAGTGCCGCCACAAGACTGTACCCCCCTTAATGTGCCCGCACCCCCCTCCCTCCCCTCCCCACCCCTCTCCACCCTCTCCCCACCACCAGCACCGCTCTGGAGCTGAACGGCTATCTCTTCCTCAAACACTCCCTGCATGTCTCCTATTATCTCAACCTCTATGGCACTCTCTTTACCCACTCCATCCTTTCGTCTTCCTCACAACCCACCAGCACTGCACTGGAGCTCAACGGATATCTCTTCCTCAAGATATCGCTGCAGCTCTCCTCGCGGGCCACCAACATGAACGCTGCCTTCTGCCCCCCGCTTGGGCCCTCCGGGTCGGGGGAATACATCGGTGAGTTTGCAGTGGTAGTTGGAGAATGTTTTTGCAGTGGTAGTGAGTGGTGAGAATTGGTGGTTGATGCGAGAATGTTTTTGCAGTGGTAGTGAGTGGTGAGAATTGGTGGTTGATGCCGCCCTGCCCACTTGAGGTGCCTCAAAAGCCACCAACATGAATGCCGCCTTCTGCCCCCCACTTGGGCCCTCAGGGTCGGGGGAATACATCGGTGAGTCTGCAGTGGTAGTTGGAGAATGAGCTCGCAGTGTTAGCCAATGGTGAAAAGTGGTAGTCAATGCCCCCCTGCCCACTTTTGATGCGCCTTGAAAGCCACCAGAAGTGCAACATGAATGCCACCTGCTGCTCCCCCCTTGGAACCTCGGGGTCGGGGGAATAGATCGGTGAGTTTGGAGGCCATCCTATAGTGTTTTCCTACCAGCGCGCGCCTGTTGTCTATCCACCCCCCTTCCCACAATTCAACATATTCCTCCAGTATCGGACTTTCCGGCCTTCGTCCTGCTGTTCCCATGGCGTCGTTCTTATCACGCTGTTCCCATTCTACTCTTCCCATCCTGCCCCCACTGTTGCTGCTCTCATGCCACTGTCCCCATGCCATGCCTCCCATGCATGCAGTGACGGGCAACGCCGACCATCACGTGTACTTCTACGACTTCATGACACCTTCTTGCTTCTTGTGCCGCCTACGGGAATTCACTCATAGGGTTGTGCGACAGCTCCCAACCTCCCTTTCCTCCCATCGTTCCGCTGTCCCCTTCACACTCTTCCCATGCATGCAGTGACGGGCAACGCCGACCATCACGTGTACTTCTACGACTTCATGAAGCCTCGCAGTCCACTCGTGGCGCGCATTCCTGTGAGTGTGGGAATGAGTTTTAAATAACCTTAAAATGACTTCTATATTTTACTCGATGCCGACCACCACGTGTACTTCTACGACTTCATGAAGCCTCGCAGTCCTCTTGTGGCGCGCGTTCCGGTGAGTTATTGTTCCCCGTGTTCCTGCTGGTCAGTAATCCTCCTCACACACTCAGGGTCGGGCTTACACGAAACTGCAGCTGCATGCCTACAGTGTAGGCTCACGGCTTATGATGCTACAGCTCTGTGGTTGGTAATAAATTGCTTTTGAGGCGTCTCAAAACCGAATTGTAATCTCGCTGCTGATTCGGTAATGCTACAGGACTGCACCTGCCTGATGATGCTCACAGCTCCCGTTGTACCTTTCCCATCGCCTCCCCTCCCCTCCCCTCCCCTCCCGCCCCACTTCTACCTCACAGGGACACAAGGCGATGGTGGTGGATGTGAGTTGGAACAACAGCAACACTGTGCTTGCCTCCTGTGACTGCGATGGGGTGGTGGCACTGTGGCAGCGGGTTTAGCTCCTGATACCAGTGCGTGCATCAAGAGCAGAGCTCCCAATGGTGCGTGCTTCACTAGCACCTCTGGGAACAACAACAACACTGTACTCGCCGGTGGTGGCACTGTGGCAGCGCGTAAAAGAACTGATAGTGCGCCTCAAGAGCATAGATCCTCGTACCGTGAATGTTTGCCTCACTAGCACCTCTGGGAACAACGGCAACACTGTGCTTGCCTCCTGTGACTGATGGTGTGGTGGCACTGTGGCAGCGCGTTTAAGCGCTGACGATGTGCATGTTTGAGGCGCCTAAAGAATACGCCCAAAGCATTTATTTGGTCCGTGCATGCATGTGGAGCGCATCAAAGCAGGCAAGGCAACGCCTGTGCGTCGTGACTCGTTCCTTCCCTGTGATGATACTGGAGGTCGGCAGTGTTGGGCTGAAGTGCCCTAGGATCTTTGTAGAGTTTAAGTCTGAGTAGAATTGTAGTAGCGGAAGCGTTTGAATGAAAGTACTTGAACCACCTTGCGCTAGTATGTGAGGGCAAAGTAAGTTGATTAAACAAGCAAATACAAAAGTTTATATAAGAGTACAAGGAATACGAATAGATAAGTTAAAACCGTTTTACTGTTGCGATTCGATACAGTGCGACTCGGGCAACTGCTCAATGTCGAGTCAGTTGTGTGTCCTTGCTGTCGCGCTGTATTTGTCAAGTCAAAGGTCGCTGACCTTTGACCTTCTCGTAACCTCCAGGCGGTTACCCTAACCTCCGAGGGTTGACTCGCGATGCTTCGATTCGGACTGCTTCGCTAGTGTCCTGAGTTTCGACACGACAGAGGCGCTTAAGACTTATTATTCCCAACATGATTGACGGGGTTACTGCTCCACGCCGCCAGGCTGGACCCTGCCCCTGTATTATCGGATTCAGAATGCACCCCCGATACAAGTCTGAGGCACAGCCTACACTACTAAAAATAGTCAACAAACGACAGCAGCAGAGACAACATCGACAGCAGCAGAGACAACATCGGCAGCAGCAGAACCATCATCGGCAGCAGCAGAACCATCATCGAAAGCAGCAGGACCAATGACACCAGTCATCGAAACACCACCAACACCCGCACAACAGCTGAACCCGACTCAACAAGAAGTCACCGAAGCGCAAACATCGTCGCCAACTTCTACTCCAACTCTGACGCGTATCAACGCTCACCCGGACATCGCGCTCCTGAAGACATCTGGCACGCACGCACAGGACATCCAAGCAATACGGTGTTAAACAACACGATACGAGCAGGAGTTCTAGACAAGGATTCGCTACTACTACTCGACGGCAGAGAACTTCAACGTGCACGAGGGACTTGCCTCATCTGCCCCGAAGCCGACTTACCCCATCGACCGTTCTCCTCTCACCACAACCCGAGCGCACCTGCATACGCACCACTCGAGAAAGTTTACAGCGACATCCTCTACAATCGAGAACCAGGACAAGTCACCTACAATTACACGATCACCTTCATCGACGCCGCCACTCGATACGTCTGGCATCACAACCTACCCAGCCGCGACATGGCACTCGCAGCATTCGCCGCTTGGCTACCGGTAGCAGAGAGGGAATCAGGAACACAACTGAAAAGCTTCCAGTCAGACGGAGGAGGAGAGTACACCTCTCAGCGCTTCAAGCAGTACCTGGCGGAAAGAGGGATCAAGCAACTCCTCTCCCTTCCCTACGCACATCAGCAGCAAGGAGTAGCAGAAAGAATGAACAGGACTCTGCAGAACAGCATGCGCAAACTGCTACGTGGCATGCGGCTACCCAACCACCAGTGGCCTGCAGCAATGGAACATGCTGTCATGCTGCACGACTTGTTGTCGTCGTCGTCACTCCCGAACAACGCCTCACCGCATCTGCTGTGGACAGGGAAGCTGGGCAGCACAAAAATGTTACGAGTTTTCGGATGCATGGTACAGTACAGACCCCCAGAAGCACGAGCGGGAAGATTTTCACAACGGGCACAGTGGGGACTACACCTCGGCATTGAGAAACATTACAACGCGTGGAAAATCTTCGACGTCCACACAAAGGAAACAGTAGCAGCACGTGATGTGATCTTCTACGAGCGACTCACCCTTCAGACGTACCTCGCCAACTTGCACGAGAATCCGGACCTCACAGGTAGCTTTCGTGGTGACCGAGCCTTCGCCTCAGCAGCGGACGAAGCAGACTGGGATGAACAGAACGTCGACAACGCATCGGAAGAAGCCGGACCTCTCCCGTACTGCTCCGTCGACGTGCCCATGGACGAAGAAAATCCTCGCGACAGTAACAACGCCGAAGTCTTCTATCACTTCGCCGACAACGGTTACGTAACACCTGCGACAGTCAACACAAATGAAGCAGAAAGGATAGGGCCAAATTTCATACCCGATCCAGAAGCAGGAGACGAAGCAGCTTATCCAGAGGATACAACACTCCCCCGATACTCACAGACTGGGCTGCAAATCCTTGGTCTCGTCACCGCAGTCCACGGGAACACAGGCAGCACGCTTCCTAAAGAGCCTGCGACGGTTCAGCAGGCTCTGGGGGGGGAACACAGGGAGAAATGGCGTGAAGCCATGGACAAAGAGCTGAAGGCACTGGAGGAGCGCAACACCTGGAAGGTCGTTCCCGCAAGCGTGGCACGGAACAAGACCATTCTTACCGGGAAATGGGTCTTCCGCATCAAGATGAAAGCTGACGGCACAATCGAGAAGTTCAAAGCACGCTGGGTCGTGCGTGGATTCGACCAGGAGCAAGGACGAGACTTCACCGAAACATTCGCCCCAGTCAGTCGACATACCTCTCTCCGAATCCTTCTCGCCGTCGCCGCCATGAAGAAGAAGAAGCTGCGACAAATCGATGTTGCCAACGCATTCCTCTACGCACCCGTCGACGCCGAAATCTTCGTCGAACTCCCACACGGCACTCACGGAAATCCTAATCAGATCTGCCAACTACTGAAATTGCTCTACGGAATCAAACAAGCCCCGCGTCTGTGGCAACAGCACCTACACACCCGCCTCACTCGCATCGGATTCCGCCAACTGCCTCACGACCAAGGAATGTACCGCCTCACCAAAGGCGCAGACTACATCCTACTAATCGTCTATGTCGACGACTTGCTCTACATCGGCTCCACCGACGACGTCACCACCTGGTTCGAAGGGGAGCTGCAGAAAGACCTCACGCTCACGGTCTCTTCTACCGTGACCCAGTACCTCGGGCTCAACATCCGCGAAGAAGAAAATGCGATCTACCTAAGCGCCGAGAAATACGCCAACACCATCGCCAAACGTTTTTCACTCACACCTACCGCCATCGCCACACCATACCGCTACACGGCAGGAAACGACAAGGGAAATTCCGCTCCACTCAAAGCTGCCGGAATACGAGACTACCAAAGGAAACTGGGCTGCCTTCTCTTCGCAGCTGTCACCTGTCGCCCGGATCTATCCTACTCCGCAAGCCAACTCGCCACCTATCTCAAGAAATCCGAAGCAAAGCATCTGGCGGAGCTTGATCGCGCACTACACTACTTCGTGAGCACACCGACGATCGGCCTGACTTACTACAAAGGCAAAGCTACGACGACGAAACTAATCGGCTACGTCGATGCTGACCATGCCGGCGATTCTGATAACAGGCGCTCTCGCACTGGCTACGTCTATCGTCTCGAGCCTATCGGACCTATCTCCTGGCAGTCGAGTAAGCAGGAACTAATCGCTCTCTCTTCAGCTGAAGCAGAATATATCGCCCTCTGTTCAGCCACCAAGGAATGACTCTACCTTCGCGAGCTGCTGGAAGAAGCAAAGTTAGCCGAGTTACCCAACTTCACCCTATTCTGCGACAACCAATCTGCAATTCGCATCGCCAACAAAAGCGGATTCGTGAACAGAACGAAGCATATCGCTCTGCGATACTTCTTCGTGAAGGACGAGATCGAGAAAAGGAAACTCGAATTATCCTACTGTCCCACGTCCGAGATGGCAGCCGATTATTTGACCAAGAAGCTCGGAAAACAGAAGTTCGAGTACTGCATGATGCTGACCGGACAAGGCCACGTCACCATCAGCGACACTCCAGAAGCGAAGGGGAGTGTTGGGAATAATAAGTCTTAAGCGCCTCTGTCGTGTCGAAACTCAGGACACTAGCGAAGCAGTCCGAATCGAAGCATCGCGAGTCAACCCTCGGAGGTTAGGGTAACCGCCTGGAGGTTACGAGAAGGTCAAAGGTCAGCGACCTTTGACTTGACAAATACAGCGCGACAGCAAGGACACACAACTGACTCGACATTGAGCAGTTGCCCGAGTCGCACTGTATCGAATCGCAACAGTAAAACGGTTTTAACTTATCTATTCGTATTCCTTGTACTCTTATATAAACTTTTGTATTTGCTTGTTTAATCAACTTACTTTGCCCTCACATACTAGCGCAAGGTGGTTCAAGTACTTTCATTCAAACGCTTCCGCTACTACAATTCTACTCAGACTTAAACTCTACAAAGATCCTAGGGCACTTCAGCCCAACAAATCACAGGCGGGAACCCACGATTTCGCCAGCGCGACAACGCACAGTTGCGTTGGTACAGCGTTGCTGTAATCCCACCCAATTCTGACCAACCGCGGCTGCGCCGCAGGCAGTGTTGGCAAGATTCCTTGCCAACACATAGCTCGCCACGCACTGCACCTTCGCTGTACACCACGACCATCCACCACACCCCGCCTTCAATGTTGCCAGCGCATAGCTCGCAGCGCGCTGCCACTCTCACATCACCACGTCCATCCACCCCACCCCACCTTCCCAGTTGCCAACGCAGGGCTCGCACCGCGTTGCTTCTCTCACGTGACTCCATCCATCAACCCCAATCACCCCACCTTCCAAGGATTCACGCCCAGGTGCAGTGCATGCAATGACCTTCTGGGAGATGGGAGGTCCTATTACACGAGGGTTTCTCATCTTCTTCTTGGTCACCGTTCTTGCAGTCTCTCTCATTGCCCGCTCCATTTGCCTGGACTCAAACTAGTGTAGGAGCCCTTGTTTCAGGCTCCCACCTCCTAGCTCGCTACACCTCTGCTCGGCAGGCTCAATGGCAGTTATAGAGGCTGACGCGGATGGGCCTGACGACGAGGATGATGCAGTCGGTCGCCCTGTATCCGGCCCAGTATCCGACCCTCTCACCGGTCTAGATTTTCTTAGGTCTGTCCTACCGAAGCACAATCCACCTCCAGCGCCACCGTCGCAACCTAGCTCGAGCCGCCCACCTATTCCCAGAGACACCACACCTCTGCACGAGGCCGTCACTGAAGCAGCGACCGCTGCGCAACAGGCGGTGCCCCATGAGGCGTCTGTTGGTGCACCTTCTCGTCCCGCGCCACCGTCGAAGCTGCGGTACCGGCAGTCCACCCTTGGTTGGGCCACTCCGCCTCCTCCATCGACCATTGTGACTCCTGCGGGCGACAATTCTCCCATGCAGGACAACTCCATGCCCACGCAGGGCAGCCCGAGGCCCACGCAGGACAGCTCAAAGCCCAAATCCGATAATCCTGAGTTGAAATACGAGGAAGCGCATGAGAGATTCAAATCGAAGTGGTCCACCGATTACAGTTGGCTTGTTCTAACTAAGACCTCTTTTGGTGCCCCTTCTTTCAAGTGCAGTATTTGCCTGGAGTTTGCGGGATTGAAAGGCAAGTGTGGGCGGCGTACCGAGGGAGCTACAGACGTGCAGACACAATCCTTCAAGAAGCACGAAGGGACGGTGAAGCACCGATTTGCTCTGCAGCGCCAGGAGGATTTGCTGCAGAAGTACGGGCGGCAGCAGCGCATCGACATGCACCCGAAAGCGCAAGACATGGAGCTGCTGCAGGTGTCGTCGCTCGTCGACGCGCTGTACTTCATGGGGAAGTGCAACGAGCCCATGGACTCGTGGATCCGGCTCGTGTGCTACCTGGCGAAGAAGAAAGTGCCCGGGTTTCCCGAGCAGGGATACGGCACATACTATAACACGTACGTAAATTCTTATGTGTGTCCCGTGTCTACAACGTTGTATCCTTGCTGACCGTCACTAACGACCTTGTCTTCCTTCTGTAGGTACAGCTTTGGAGAGCTCACTCAAGCCATTGCGACATGGCTTCAGACAACGCAACTGGAGCACCTCCTCTTGAGCCCTTTCATCGGGATAACGCTCGATGAGAGCACCGACCGTCGGCGCGGCAAGCACATGATTGTGTTTGCCACGTTTCTCCGCGAAGGCCGAGTTGTCACTGAGTTCGTCGCGCATTTAACAGTTGATAGGGCTGACGCTGCATCTTTGTGCAGTTTGTTGCTTTCCCACCTCAGGGCAGTCGGCGTTGACCTCCGGCGTATCTCGGGAGTGAGCACGGATGGCGCCTCTGTGATGGTGGGGAGTCAAAACGGTGTGGTTGCTCGTCTGCGAATGCTCATCCCCAACCTGGTCTTGTTTCACTGCATCGCTCACAGGTGCGTTTGTGTTTTAACGCCATGTGTAAACGGCAAATCTGTTTGTTTATGAAAAACTAACTGTGCATGTGTGGTTTTGTCTGGCAGGGAGGCCTTGGCTGCCAAGGCCGCAGCGGAGAAGATACCCACCTTCAACATGGTCGACGACGTGATCCGCGCGGTCGCAGAGTACCTCGGGCGATCGGGGCCGTGGCATCAGCGCTTCATGGAGCTCCAGGAGGTGTTCACGTCCACCATCCTCGAGGCCCAAGGCATACACGACGTGCGGTGGCTGTCCAGAGGAGCTGCAGTTGCCCGCTTCGTCCAAGTCCTACCTGCCATCATGGTCATGTTGTCGGAGTGGAAGGACCAGACCATGTACGAACTCGTCACGTCGTACAGGTTTCAGTTCCTCACCAGGTTCCTCGCGAACATGCTGGAGCAGCTCAACGTCCTCTCCTCTGTTTTTCAGAAGCGAGAAGTAAGTGAATTTGAGGGTGTAGATTGTATTGGTTTAAGTCCGAGACCCATTGTACTAATTCTCTTTGTATGTTTGTGATGCAGCTCGACTACGCGCTGGTGCACACGCAGATTGTGCGCACCACATCGATCCTGGAGGCTCGGTACGTCGACTGTGGAGACGACTTCGGGGGGGGGCCGACCGAGAGGCTCTACCGCTTCATTGAGAAGCACGGTCCGGGAGGGACACCAGAAATGGTGGTGGAAGGAGCATCGTCCGACGGCAGTATGAACCGCTTCAAGGTGAAGCTTCACGAACGCACAAACCCAAGCTATCGTGGGCCTGGTCATCACCACGCCTGCGTTGCGCTCTGCACCGACATGGCCGAGCTCGTTGTCGAGCAGCTCCAGTCCAAGCTCGGCGACCTTGACTCACTTTCCGGAGTGCGGCTGTTTATTCCAGAGATGTGGCAACCTCACTGGGACCGGAACGCACGGCAGGCACAGTGCCTGGAGTGGCTGATGTCGCTTGTCACGTTGTTTCGCGCAGATGAAGCCGACGAGATACTACCTGGTATGGTTTTGTGTCACCCCGCCCCTTTCCCCCTTTGGCTATGGCTCGTTTACTAAACCTGTGTCTCGTTTTGCCTTGCAGGCATTGACAAGAAAAAAGCCGTGAGGGAGCTGCGCACACTGTGTCCGGTCCCGTACCCCAACCTGGTCGGACTGTGGGTGGCGATTACGGTGCTGCCTCTCAGCACGGTCGAGTGCGAGCGCGGTTTCTCCCGACAGAATCTCATCAAAACGTGGCAGAGGGGCAGCATTAAGGACTGTAGGCTGAGTGATCTGCTCTGTATTTCACTCCTAGACTATGAGCTAGATGTCCCAGGAGTAGTAGAGATATGGCGCAGCTACAAGAAGCGCCGGCCGGTCACAGCACCTGCTGCAAGGCACAGAGAGGAGCCCTCGTGGGCTGGGAAGGAGCCTGTAGACGAGGCAGTAGTAGAACGTGAACCTGTATTAGACTATCAAGAAGAAATGTAAGGTTACTTAGTGTTTTCATTATAACAAGAAAATTGACTGACTCTGTATGTTCAGCGTAGAAATGCAAGTGTAGTCTGAAATCTCAGACTTAAAAAATCAGGTCACTCTGACAGCCAGACTAGGAAGAGCGGTGTACTCTGAGGCCTCAGACTACCTCAAAACGAATCTAGGGGCCTGGTCGGCAGGACTCGGCCTCTCAAGAAGCAGTGCGATGCAAATTCCCAGTAAAGCATTAGTGTAGTGCAACAATAGAAACGTGGTATGCATCGACCATTTGTATGCACTGAATGCTGACAGCAAGCATGCTTACTAAAGCAAGCCAATTCTTAAATACACTTATCAGACTGCAGTGCATGAAAAGGCTACACTTGAACTACACAGTGCAAGTATGGCCACGGTGTAAGCTGTAACCCCATCACAGCAAATGGGGGGGTTACGCTCTACAAGCCGAGCCTACTATCTGGAAACGACTAATCACCACCAGCTCCTTTCTCCCCTCCCTCCTCTCCTTCCCCACCCTCCCCTTCTGCTGCTACTGTACCTGCATCAGCTTCTGCCCCTCCTCCCTCTCCTTGTGTCTCCCCTGCTCCCCCTGCACCTCCTGCTGCGTCCCCTCCCCCCACGCCTCCCCCACTCCCTTTCACCGACCCCACCACATCATACTTGAACTGCAAAGACGACTCCCAGTCCCTCAGGGTCTCCATTTCAGAATAGGTCAGCCCGGTCAAATCCCCCACCGCGTCCTTGGGATCGGTTGACATCTTGGCAAACGCGCGGCTCGCCTCCTTCCCTGCAAACACCTCGTAGGGACCTCCTGGACCGTAGAAGTGCCTGCGAGTGGGAGAGTGGGTTGGGTAGGCATGGTAGGATAAAATTTTGAGTCGACTCAAACATGGCTTGCCTGGTTCCTCTCACTCATCTTCCTGCCAAGACCTCATAGCGACCTCTCATAGGGTCTCCATCTCCGAGTAGGTCAGCCCGGTCAAATCCCCCACCGCGTCCTTAGGATCGGTTGACATCTTGGCAAAGGCCCGGCTCGCCTCCGTCCCTGCAAACAATTCAAGCGTTAGTGCCTCCTGGGCCGTAGAAGTATCTGGGAGTGGGAGAATGGGATGGGGCAAGGGGGTGCAGTGCAGTGTTTGTTACTCTGCCTTGCCTCACCTCACCTCACCTCACCTCACCTCACCTCACCTCACCTCACCTCACCTCACCTCAGCTCGCTTCCTTCCCTGCCAACACCTCAAGCGTTAGTGCTCGGTGTGCTTTGGTGAGCTGTAATTTATGAAGGGTTTGCGATGTTAGCGAGGCTAGTTAGGTTCGCAACCGGCGATGGCAAAGGCAGGTGAAGGTGATGGAGGAAATCCACTAGGGAAGTATGGTGCGGGCTTGCAAGTGTATCAGAAAAAACAATCGGAGAAGCCAAAGGGTGCATAACAAGCACTCACTGCAGAGGGTGTATGTCAAGAAAACCAGGTTTACATGCGATTTCACTCCCATTTGACATGAACTTAGACACACGGTAGAAAGAGCAGGCACTCACTTTCCACGAGTTACATCGTAGATTTTCCCTCGAATGGCCTGGGCAGGAGACGGGGATCGCGGAGAGGAGGGAGAAGGGGAGGTGGGAGCGGAGGAAGAAGGGGACGGAAAAAGGGAGGGGGAGAGAGGGAGAAGGGGAGGGAGAGTGATTACACGAAGAAGGGAAGGGAGAGTGAGGGAGAAGCTAATTTTGATGGAAAGGCGATGAAGCAAAACACTGCGAGACGATCCTGACGCCCATTTTCCCATGCCAGCAGAAAGCGCATATCACTCACCAGAAGGATCGGTTTCTCCGGGTCGCTGCCGCTGTACTGGCTTAGCTCCTCGAGGGTAATTTCCCCTATTTTAATCGGCTCCGGTGGGCCCGGGACAGGCGGCGGAACAGGCGCTGCGCGCTGCTGAACGTACGAGAAGATGACGTAGATGATCGACGCGATGAGGACTAATAACGAGACTGTTGTTGACGGAGCAAGCCCTGTGGCTTCTTGCACGTACGCCAGGAAGGTTTGTAACGGGGATAGAGCAGTCGACATATTGCTGTCGAAGAAAGAACGCGAGCTTTGTCAGTGACGGTGTGCGGAGGCAAGGCGAAATTGAAAAAAAACGCGGATTTACGAGTTTAGGCCGATTTTCGAAACGGGACGATGAGGCAAGGCGAACGGCGCGAGTAGAAGCGAGTCAACACTACGAGATGAGCAGGAGAGCGGGGCTGGAAGTGTGTCTCGAGACGAGACTACTGAAGGCTGGGAAATTAAACAAGGGCAAGGGCAGGAAAAATAAACATCTGCCGTTGACAGGACGTGAAAAATGGCGCAAGGCAGCGGTGATCGCGCAGATTTGTAGACTCCGAAAAAGTGCAACCTCGCCGTTGACGAGACGAATCAGGGAGGATTCAACGCAGTAGAGCTGCGGGTTGTGTTATTGTGCTTGAGGGCACTTTCGAACCATCCAGAAACTGTATGGTTGTTTTCGGCGTCCAGGGCTGGTTCGACCCTGCGTAAAATTGATACTCGAATCTACCAACCGTAACAAAAGCCATCCGACCTTTGGTTATTTTGTTTTTCCCCGTTGAGGAGACACTCGAAACGTTCTTTTTGCGTTCCAAAACCGGACCAGAAGATGTTGAAACTGACTATTTGGTAACCAGCGCGCACTCGAGCGAAGTTATATGCACACCCCCATGATCAAATCACACACCAAGGGCTGATACATGCTCATGTTTCCTTTAGGTGGTGCCAAGTAAAGAGAGGGCAGATACTTGTGTTGCGTGCGTGGGATCACTCGAGTACATCTGCCTGACTGTCCGGCGGCGGGGAATTCACGATACGTCCATCAAGCGCAGCGACGCTCCGCAAACAGCGTCACGTTCTGTGGCGAATCCGGGATAGGTCCTGTCGCCGGTCTCTCTCTGTTCGTGCTGTTTGCTCGTAGGACCACTGGCTGAACTGCATCGCGTTTCGTGAACCGTCGATGTTGTTGTAGCAAGCACGCGGTATGATATCGACCACGATAAGGAATCAGGCTCAGTTCAGAGTCAGATGCGATTCAGGCCAGCTTTAGACCAAACTCAGACGAGACGCATGTCCGACAGGAGTCCTGGCCAGAGGGACGTAAGCAAGTAGTTGTACGCGCGTCAGCCCAACTATAGAACTAACATGCAGGCTGTATGTTTACAAGGAACCACCCATAAAAGCGCGTCAGCCCGTCAGGCTTAGCTTCGGGAGCACCAGGCTTGTTAATTCAAAGCCGGTCCAGGTCAAGCTGTCGTCAGCTTTGCGCCACTAGCCTTCGCAAGACGCCATGGTCCTAGGTAAGCCCGCAGTTAAGTTGCTCCTGTAACATGGTTACCCTGATTTTGTCACATAAGGATAAGCCCTTGGTCGCTCTGCTTCTGAAACTTCAGATGTAGGCTCACATGGGTATTATGAAAAAAGCAAGAAAGAAAAGAAAGGTCTACCTACCTCATGGCCTCGTGGCACAATCATTGTCGGAAGTCCATGACTGTGTTGTGGCCGTGCCATGGCACGGCCACACAAATTTGCGAGGTTTTTAGGGTTTGTTATGGGATTAAAGGTTAATACTCTAGGGTTATTAAGGGATAAAAAAGCGAGTACTCTGCACCACATGTCATGTGCGTGCAGCCTGCCAGGCTTCTACTACGACGAGGCTTCCAACTGCTACCTAGACATGCCATACCCGTTGTTGTCTGTCCTGCACTCTGTTGTGCACCCCATGTCATGGCTGTGTGTGTGCTGCGTGTGCTGCGTGTGCCTGCAGACCTACCAGGTTTCTACTTTGACGAGGCCAGCAACCGCTACTTCCGCCTGCCAGGCACCTAGGTTCACATAAAAGCATAACTCATGGCTGTGCAACCATTGCGTGTGCGTGCAGACCTACCAGGGTTCGACAAGGACGAGGCCAGCAATCGCTGCTTCCGCCTACCAGGCCCTCGTGGCCTCATGACATGCGTCTTGTCTTGTGTCCACCCCATCTTGCACGCCCTTGCAGACCTGCCTGGCTTCTATTATGACGAGGCCACCAACCGTTACTTCCGCCTGCCCCGACCTGCCGCTCTGGCCCCCTCACCCTCTCCGTTAGCAGCAGCTGGTGGTGTGCATGCAGTGGGAGGGGGAGGAAGAGGAGGAGGACGAGGAGGGGAAGGTGGAGGTGTAGGGAGAGGAGGAAGTGGGGATGGGGGGAGGGGAGGAGGGGGAGGAAGAGGTGGGGAACGGTATGGAGGAGAGAGAGACAGGCATGGCAAAGCCCACCCATCGTCCGCGACAGTTTCTGAGAAAGTTCCCACCGTTTTTCAGCTGCTGCGTGAGAGGGAGGCAGGAGGTCGCCGCTGGCACCCCTCAGTAGTGTCATATGATTCGTCGCCTGTGCATGGAGCACATTCGTTAAGAGCAGAGTGCACGTTAGAGTCACAGCCGGCCTCAGAAAGGAGGCGGAGGAGGAAACGAGGGAAAGAGCATGCAGAGAAGCAGCAGCAGGATGGGTCTCACCACACTTCCATGGAGTATGGTCTTGTGCAGCGCCGTTCGCATGGGGACGCTGTTGGTGGTAATGTTAGTTACAGCAGTGCTCATAACGAGCGTGCTACTAATGGTCGTGCTGGTGCTGATCTTGTTGGTGACAGTGGTCGTGGGGGTCATGGGGCCCGTCTGAAGGCGGTTTCTTTTGAGTCGACTCAAAAGTCATGTGACAGTGGTCGTGGGGGTCATGGGGACTGTCTGAAGGCGGTTTCGTCGGTGTTTGGCCGCGCGTTTGAAACGGCAGCTCGCACTGCTGGCATGAGGAACCTCAAGGTGGGGATGAGAGAGGCGAGGCGAGGCGAGGCGAGTAATGGCGATGTGATGTGATGCAGGCATGGCATTGTGCATTTGTGGCAGTATGAGGCAACAGAGAGGGCGTGTGATGCAGGCATGGCATTGTGCATTTGTGGCAGTATGAGGCAACAGAGAGGGCGTGTGATGCAGGCATAGAAGTGATGCAGGCGTAGAAGTGATGCAGGCGTAGAAGTGATGCAGGCGTAGAAGTGATGCAGGCTTAGAAGTGGTGCAGGCGTAGAAGTGATGCAGGCGTAGAAGTGATGCAGGCGTAGAAGTGGTGCAGGCGTAGAAGTGATGCAGGCTTAGAAGTGGTGCAGGCGTAGAAGTGGTGCAGGCGTAGAAGTGATGCAGGCGTAGAAGTGATGCAGGCGTAGAAGTGATGCAGGCGTAGAAGTGATGCAGGCGTAGAAGTGATGCAGGCGTAGAAGTGATGCAGGCGTAGAAGTGATGCAGGTGTAGAAGTGATGCAGGCGTAGAAGTGATGCAGGCGTAGAAGTGATGCAGGCGTAGAAGTGATGCATGCGTAAAAGTGATGCAGGCGTAGAAGTGATGCAGGCGTAGAAGTGATGCAGGCGTAGAAGTGATGCATGCGTAGAAGTGATGCAGGCGTAGAAGTGATGCAGGCGTAGAAGTGATGCAGGCGTAGAAGTGATGCAGGCGTAGAAGTGATGCAGGCGTAGAAGTGATGCAGGCGTAGAAGTGATGCAGGAGTAGAAGTGATGCAGGCGTAGAAGTGATGCATGTGGTGGCGCAGGGGGAGGAGGAGGGCACTCATGTGTGGCTTTTGAGATGTCTCACAAGTCGCCTCTGCTTCTTTTGTTGTGCCTGCACCCTCCTCTGCACCCTCCTCTGCACCCTCCTCTGACCAGATGTGGCAGTATCAGGTAACGGAAAGGGCGTGTGATGCGGGCATGGCAGTGATGCATGTGGTGGCGCAAGGGGACGAGGGCGCGCATGTGCGCACCGGCTTGCTCGTGGGCCATCGATTGGGGGATGTGAGGTGAGAAGCGTGGAACAAGGGCGATGGGAGGTGAGGATTGTGGGTGGGTGACAGTGACACACTCTCGCTCATCTCTCTTGCCCCTTTCCATGGGCAGCAGCTCGCTCCCTCTCGCTCATCCCTCCCTCATCGCACCCTTGTTCCCAAGCAGCCTTCTGGAGCTCACGGATCAGGAAGAGACGCCTAGCACCACTCGCCCCACCACCCACCAGCACCACTGGCCTTTGCACATTTCCACAGGCAGCTCCTTCTCCCTCTTGCAATCCCTGCCTCATCACACTCCTGTTCCCCCTATCGTACAGCCTTCTGGAGCTCACGGATCAGGAGGAGACGCCTAGCACCACTCGCCCCACCACCCTCCAGCACCACTGGCCTGTGCTTCTTTCCTCAGGCAGCTCCATTTCCACATCCGGGCAGCGGGTCGCAACTTATGATCTGCCCAGGCCCCCTCCGCCTCCGGCCTTCTCAAGCTTGCACTCCCTCTTTCTGGGCTCGGATGTTACGAGCATACGCACGCTTCCTTGGGGCAGCAGAGCGATTGGAGATTCTGGTGTTGCTGCGGGCAGCTGTGCAGCGTGAGTGGGTGGATTGGGTAGGAAAAGAAGGGGGAGCAGAGGGGGAAGGAGAGGGCGTTTAGGTTGGGGCCTTCACGAGCTCGCACTCCCTCTTTCTGGGCTCGGATGTTACGAGAATACGCACGCTCCCTTGGGGCAGCAGAGCGATTGGTGATTCTGGTGTTGCTGCTGGCAGCTGTGCAGCGTGAGTGGGTGGGGTGGGTAGGTAGGAGAGAGAGGGGAGGCTAAGGTGTTGAGGGGCTGGGTGGGGCTATGAAGCCCAAAAAGAGCGAGTGACGAACGTCGCACTCGCTCTTTTTGGGGAGGCACGAACTGCCTAACTTTTTCTCCAGTCTAGATGTTCCTTTCCCCGTTCCTATCCTTCCTATCCTTCCCGTCCTTCCCAGCATCACAACTCTAGGCACGGGGGGTCACCCTGCCTGTGTGGTGCTGGCTGGTCTGGTCTGGACCTCTCGGGCTCATCTGGTGCAGCCTCAACTGGTCTGGACCTCTCGGGCTAATCTGGTTCATCCCCTCCTACTGCTGCTCTTCTTCATGACAAGCACTGACCTGTGGGTCTGGTCTGGACCTCTCGGGCTCATCTGGTGCAGCCTCAACTGGTGACGGCGCAGCTGATGGCTCAACTGGACTTGCTGCTAATGGCTGTTTCCTCCTAGGTTCACCCAAAAGCGCCTTCTGCTAACTAACAGCTCTGTCCCTTCTTCCTGTCCATCTTATCCATCCTAGCATCACGACTCTAGGCACGGGGGGGCACCCGGCCCGTGTGTTGCTCGCTGCACTCGACCTCGCAGACTCTTCTGGTGGTGGTCCAACTCGTGGAGGCACATCTGGTGCCAATGGTGCCGCAGCTGGTGCTGGTGTTGCTAGCGCGGCTGGTGCGGGTGTTTCAAGAGGTGGTGGAAGTGGCAGGAGAGGGAGCAGCAGGCAGCGCCTTCTTCATTGGCAAGTGGAGAGGCAGTTTGAGTTGCCGGGCAGCGTATGGGCGTGTGAATGCTCGCCGAAGCAAGGGGAGATTGGAGTGGGTGAGTGTGTGTGTGGTTCTTACTCAGGCACCTAAAAGTAGATCGACCCGTACTACAAGGTGCACTGGCCTTGAGAGAAGTTCAAGTCACTACCACCTACACTTTGCTATGAGAGAAAGCATACGCTTCCGCAACCGCAAGCACCACCGCATGCATCTGTTTCTCTCTCACTGTGTGTGTATTGTATCTGTGTGTCTCTCTCTCCAGGCACGTCACTGAAGTTGCAGCTGCTGCACGTGGAGACGGGGCAGCGGACAGCCCTTGAGGCGCAGAGTACCCTCCAGATTTAGAGATTCTCACTGTTTGTTTCCTGTAAACCCCTCCCGCTGCATCTCTGTGCCTCTCTCCAGGCACGTCCCTGGGATTGCGGCTGCTGCACGTGGAGACGGGGCAGAGGACAGCCCTGTGCCACAGCAACAGTGACGTGCTAGCGCTGCAGGTCACAGGGGAGGTGAGACATGGGGTAGGTAGGATGTGTATGTGGGAGGTGCAATATGGGGAGGGTGGGACGGTGGAGCTGCTGCACGTGGAGACGGGGCAGAGGACAGTCCTGTGCCACAGCAACAGTGACGTGCTAGTGTTGCAAGTCACAGGAGAGGTGAGACACAGGGGAGGTGAGGTTCGGAGGATGTGATGAGACTGTGGTGAGTCGAATCAAAATACGCTTGGAAAAGCTTCTTAACTGACTACTTCTAGAAGCTTCCGTCACTACCTGATATATCTTGAAACGAGGCGAGTTTTGAGTCGACTCAAACTCGACACAGGAAAAGCTTCCTAACTGACACTATCGCTACCTAGAAACGAGGCGAGTTTTGAGTCGACACAAACTCGACACAGGAAAAGCTTCCTAACTGACTCCATCACTACCTAGAAACAAGGGGCAAGGGGAAAAGGGCCTCTCGTCATCGCCTCTCTGTACACATAGCAGCGAGGGATCGAGCAGCAAGGAAGAGAATTTCCCCTTTCCCCTCTCAGCCCCAAGCACCCCAAGCTTTATTGAAAACACTTCTGAGAATTCTCAAAAGTGATTTCAATCTCCCCTTTCCCCTCTCAGCGCCAAGCACCCCAAGCTTTCCATCCCTTCCACAGAAAGCTCACACACCCCAACGTGCGACCTCAGGGCAGCACCTACCTGGCAGGTTTTCGCAACGGCGCCATCGCCACCATCGACTTTCTATGCATGTCAACCTTTCCAACCTCTCACCCCCTCCCTCTCCCCCTCCTCACCCCCCATGCGACCCCAGGGCAGCATCTACCTGGCTGGTTTCCGTAACGGAGCCATTGCCACCATCGACATGCGCGCACCCCTGCCTCCCCGCCTCGAGTTTTGAGTCAGCTCAAACCTCCTCCCCCTCCCCAACACCGTGTCACCCCAGGGCAGCATCTACCTGGCTGGTTTCCGCAACGGAGCCGTCGCCACCATCGACACATGCGCACCCCTCCCAACCTCAAAGCTAACACCCCTTTCATCTCAACCTTCCCAACCTCCCCCTCTTCCCCACCCCCCCCTTTCCCCCCGCTCCCGCTCCCTCAACCCCAGAGCAGCACCTACCTGGCAGGTTTCCGCAGCGGCGCCATCGCCACCATCGACATGCGCGCACCCCTGCCCACCTCGAGTTTTGAGTCAGCTCAACTCCCCTCCCCCCCCACCACCTCATGTGTCACCCCAGGGAAGCATCTACCTGGCTGGTTTCCGTGACGGCGCCATTGCCACCATCGATACGCGCGCACCCCTCCCCACCTCAAAGCTAACACCCCTTTCATCTCAACCTTCCCAACCTCCCCCTCTTCCCCACCCCCTTTTTCCCCCCGCTTCCGCTCCCTCGACCCCAGAGCAGCACCAACCTGGTGGTTTCCACAACGGAGCCATCGCCACCATCGACACGCGCGCTCCCCTGCCCACCTCAGCCAAGCAGCTCCCACCACAAAGCAAGCACCCCTAGCATGTCAACCTTCTGATCCTCCCTCCTGCCCCTTCCCCCCCTCGACCCCAGGGAAGCACCTACCTGGCTGGTTTCCTCAACGGCGCCATCGCTACCATCGACACACCCGCACCCCTGCCCACCTCAGCCAAGCAGCTCCCACCACAAAGCAAGCACCCCTAGCATGTCAACCTTCCGATCCTCCCTCCTGCCCCTTCCCCCCCTCGACCCCAGGGAAGCACCTACCTGGCTGGTTTCCACAACGGCGCCATCGCTACCATCGACACACGTGCACCCCTGCCCACCTCAGCCAAGCAGCTCCCACCACAAAGCAAGCACCCCTAGCATGTCAACCTTCCGATCCTCCCTCCTGCCCCTTCCCCCCCTCGACCCCAGGGAAGCACCTACCTGGCTGGTTTCCGCAACGGCGCCATCGCTACCATCGACACACGCACACCCCTGCCCACCTCAGCCAAGCAGCTCCTACCACAAAGCAAGCACCCCCAGCATGTCAACCTTCCGATCCTCCCTCCTGCCCCTTCCCCCCCTCGACCCCAGGGAAGCACCTACCTGGCTGGTTTCCGCAACGGCGCCATCGCTACCATCGACACACGCGCACCCCTGCCCACCTCAGCCATGCAGCTCCCACCACAAAGCAAGCACCCCTAGCATGTCAACCTTCCGATCCTCCCTCCTGCCCCTTCCCCCCCTCGACCCCAGGGAAGCACCTACCTGGCTGGTTTCCGCAACGGCGCCATCGCTACCATCGACACACGCACACCCCTGCCCACCTCAGCCAAGCAGCTCCCACCACAAAGCAAGCACCCCTAGCATGTCAACCTTCCGATCCTCCCTCCTGCCCCTTCCTCCCCTCGACCCCAGGGAAGCACCTACCTGGCTGGTTTCCGCAACGGCGCCATCGCTACCATCGACACACGCGCACCCCTGCCCACCTCAGCCAAGCAGCTCCCACCACAAAGCAAGCACCCCTAGCATGTCAACCTTCCGATCCTCCCTCCTGCCCCTTCCCCCCCTCGACCCCAGGGAAGCACCTACCTGGCTGGTTTCCGCAACAGCGCCATCACTACCATCGACACACGCGCACCCCTGCCCACCTCAGCCATGCAGCTCCCACCACAAAGCAAGCACCCCTAGCATGTCAACCTTCCGATCCTCCCTCCTGCCCCTTCCCCCCCTCGACCCCAGGGAAGCACCTACCTGGCTGGTTTCCGCAACGGCGCCATCGCTACCATCGACACACGTGCACCCCTGCCCACCTCAGCCAAGCAGCTCCCACCACAAAGCAAGCACCCCTAGCATGTCAACCTTCCGATCCTCCCTCCTGCCCCTTCCCCCCCTCGACCCCAGGGAAGCACCTACCTGGCTGGTTTCCGCAACGGCGCCATCGCTACCATCGACACACGCGCACCCCTGCCCACCTCAGCCAAGCAGCTCCCACCACAAAGCAAGCACCCCTAGCATGTCAACCTTCCGATCCTCCCTCCTGCCCCTTCCCCCCCTCGACCCCAGGGAAGCACCTACCTGGCTGGTTTCCGCAACGGCGCCATCGCTACCATCGACACACGCGCACCCCTGCCCACCTCAGCCAAGCAGCTCCCACCAAAAAGCAAGCACCCCTAGCATGTCAACCTTCCGATCCTCCCTCCTGCCCCTTCCCCCCCTCGACCCCAAGGAAGCACCTACCTGGCTGGTTTCCGCAACGGCGCCATCGCTACCATCGACACGCGCGCACCCCTGCCCACCTCATCCAAGCAGCTCCCACCACAAAGCAAGCACCCCTAGCATGTCAACCTTCCGATCCTCCCTCCTGCCCCTTCCCCCCCTCGACCCCAGGGCAGCACCTACCTGGCTGGTTTCCGCAACGGAGCCATTGCCACCATCGACATGCGCGCACCCCTGCCCACCTCAGCCAAGCAGCTCCCACCACCGCCGCTCAGGCACCCAGCGGATTGGAGGGGGCTGGGGGGTGGCAGGAGGGGCAAGAGGGGTGCAGCAGGGGAGGTGAATGAGTATTACTGCAGCCACCAGCGAGTCATGCGCATGCCTTCTGCTGTATCTGGGTATGTTCGCCCTCTGCCGTCTGCCGTCTGCCCGCTGCTGTATCTAGGTATATGTGTGTGCACAGTGTACCCCTTTGAGTATTACTGCAGCCACCAGCGAGTCATGCGCATGCCCTCTGCTGTATCTGGGTATGTTTGCCCTCTGCCCTCTGATGTATCTAGGTATGCATGTGTGTGTGTACCCTTTGAGTATTACTGTAGCCACCAGCGAGTCATGCGCATGCCCTCTGCTGTCTCTGGGTGGGTACGGCTGAGATTTGCGATGGCAAGGTGTGGGCACTGCATGGGTCATGCCTTGGGTTATCTGTCACGTGCCAGAGGTTAATTTTGAGATGTTGATGTATCTTGCAAGTCTTGATTTTGAGACGTCTCAAACGGAATGCGTTCTGCTGTCATGTGGCGGGGGGTTGATGTTTGAAATGTTTATCTATTGTGCAAGTGATGGGCATGGTGAATGAAGAAATATAGCCACGTGATTAAAGTGTTGTTTTGAGACGTCTCAAAACAATACTTTTATTATGCAAGTGATGGGCATGGTGAATGAAGAATAGGACATGCCCTTGGGCCTTGCTGTGTACCTCTCTGTGTGTGCAGCATGTATGCCGCAGTCACTAAGCATCTATGTCATGACTCTACGCTCATGCTCTCTTTGTTCTCCTCCTATATTGCCATGCATGGAGACATCATCCATGGCGTACGGTGCATGGGGTTTGGGGCATGTGGTATGGGGCATGGGGCATGGTGCATGGGGCATGGGGCATGGTGCATGGGACATGGGGCATGGTCCATGGGACACGGGGCATGGTGCATGGGCATGGGGCATGCAGCATGCAGGCAATGAAGCAGAGTGATTTCTACCTCTTCGCATCCTCCTTTGATGGATCCGTGAGTCCCACCTTTCCATCAATGCATTTTCTGCCACTTGGTATTCTTCTTCACACTTAACTCGTGCTTTGTAGTCAAATTCTCACTTCTTTTGATGCGCAGGTTTTCTAGAGTTCATAGAATTCAATTCATGCATGGGGGGGTTAGCGAGTCCAATGTTGTCCTGCCATCTCTGCTTTCGGAAGCCGAAGCCTTGATTGGTGTATGGTCACGTCAGTAGGCTAGTGTCGTCCTCTGTTCCTCCCTCCCTCGCTCCCCACCCAATTCTGCCTTTCCCTAATGCCCTTGTTCTTCTTGGAAACAGGTGAGCCACAGTTTCGAGCAATCACAGTGATGGAAACACTCCTGTTCCTCTCAGAACTGTGGCTCGCCTGTTTCCAGTCACTGCTCTGATGCGTCAGCGACAGCTGATGCGTCGCACCCATCACCTCTCACTGCATTCCTCCGTGCCTTGTCATTCTCACTATGATTGCTCGTGTCTCACATGGTGCCATCCACCCAATGGCAGTTGTTTCAATGGGACCTCCGCTCTTCGGCGACGCCCCTACGCCAGTTGCAGGGCCACAGAAACTCGCACTTCCACCTGCCACTGCTGCTTGACCCTTCAGAGAACTTCATATGTGCACGTGAGGCATGATACAAAGCCTTTGTTTCTTCTTTCGGCCTTGTTTGTGCAGCTGTTGTAACAATTTGTTGTGGTATCCTTTTTTTTTGCAGCTGGAAATGACTATGAAGCTCGCATATGGAGTGTTTCAACTGGTGCCTTGCTGTCAGCGGCTCACCTCCCTGGTCATGCTACTGCTGCTCTTTGGTCTTGTACATCTGGTAGGTGTTGTTGTGGCTTCGTTATATCTCCGACCCCTTCATTCGTATCTTCATTTATATACATAACCTGTTTTATGTTTGCAGGTTCTGGAAATGGTTTGTCAGATTTTCCAGATGGTATATTTCTCGGTACATGCGACTCTTTGTGCTACTTGGATTTCTCAGTGTAGTACACTCGAAAGCATGCCTAAAACGAAGTCAAATCCAGCTTGGTGGTTCTTACAGTCGGCGAACCGCCACGTGGCATCAGAAACTGTGGTATTTGCCCCAGCCACTCGTCTCGTCCCCCATGTCTCCGGAGCTTTCGCAACGCAACACATTCCAGCCACATGTAACAAGGCGACGCTGCTGCTTGCTCCCCTTGCCCTTGTTCCGCTTTCTGATCCTGCCAGCCGCATTATCCGTCGAGCATGCCCCTTCTCAGTGCTTCTGAAACAGAATGACAGGTGGTTCAGAGGTTAGCTGAGTGGTCTCAAGCGTTATATTCTGGTACTACGGTATCACTCCTTTGATGCTTCGAATTTGCTCTTGCTAGTGTCTCATCTGGTTAGCTCTGACAAACCAACTGTGTGCTTCAACCTACTAGCTCGTTCTCTATCTTCTGCTCGCAATCGTCAGGAAGTTTGGAACGGGACGATCGTAGTATTTTACCTTTAGTGCCTGTTTACTGGTGAGCCACGCTCCACACCCTCCGTTTGAGTCACTTCAATAACCGCATTTCGCCTGGCACCGTACGGTGCTGTGCCTTGGAATAGCGCTGCAGCTGGTGACAGATCATCCGTAGTTGCTCGTTGTGACCTGTTTTACCTGCACGATTTTTAGCGAGAATGTTTCTGGTAATTTGAGGAACAAGCTTCGCCTGTAGGCTAGGACTCCGGTCATTGCGGTGCAGACGATAAGGGAGAGTAGTTTCGTCTACGCATTTCGTGTCCCCTTTCGTCGCGGAACCCATTGGTCGCCTAAGCAGCCATGGCACTCGCGGCTTTGCATCAGTCGGCCTCGTTGCGTGCAGTCCGTCTCTCTCCTTCCTACTCTTCTGAACGCCACGTCAGCGGAAGCTCTCCCTTAGAATCACAACTATCGCTTCTATCTGGAACCGCATCTCAGCATCAGTCTCTCAGCTCTCGTTCTCTCGCCGCTCCAAAACTCGCACTCCAGAGATTTCTTGGTTCGTCGACCGAAACAGCGGCTGCGAGGGCGACGACGGTGACGGCGACTTTGGCGTCGGAGAGCGAGGCTGCGAAGGCGGGTGGGACGCCGGCGAATTCAGGAGAATCGAGGCTTGCGAAGGTAACATCTCATGTTCATTTTGCGACTGTGATTTGTCGTGAATCAAGGTGAAAGAATAGCAACGAGTATCCAATGTAGGGAATCAAGAGCCACCCGATCGTATCGCCGTACAGCAATAAATGGTCGAAACATTCGCCCCGTTTCCGCTTCAACCGCGGTTGAATTTTTACAAACTTTAAAAAACCTGTTTGGGAATTAAACCTCGTCTTCCACTTTAATAACGCATTATGGTGACAATCTGACTTCAGTCGAACTTCCGTTCCCTCTCCCCTCTTCCCATTCCTTGCAACCCCCAGGTGCCCACCGAGCGCATCCGCAACTTTCATCGCGCACATCGACCACGGCAAGTCGACGCTGGCCGACAAGCTGCTCGAGACTAGTACTCCGTCGCTCCATGTCCCCCTTCTCCCCCCCCTTTCCCGTCGCTTCCTCTTTCCCCCACCCCCTCTACCCACGAAACCTCCCGCCTTCTGCCCCCTCTCCCCATTCCTCATAATTTTCCCAGGTGCCCATCGAGCGCATCCGCAACTTCAGCATCATCGCGCACATCGACCATGGCAAGTCGACGCTGGCCGACAAGCTGCTCGAGAAAACAACTCCCTCTCTTCCCATCACCCATCCCCGTCCTCTTCCCCTGCTACTCCCCCTCTAATTCCACATCCCCCCCCACCCCCCATTCCCCACAGGTGCCCATCGAGCGCATCCGCAACTTCAGCATCATCGCGCACATCGACCATGGCAAGTCGACGCTGGCCGACAAGCTGCTCGAGACGACGGGCACGGTGCAGGCGCGCGAGATGAAGGAGCAGTTCCTGGATAACATGGAGCTGGAGAGAGAGCGAGGGATCACGATCAAACTGCAGGTAACACAGAGTTCTGGGTAGGGTTTTGAGGACAGCATGGGCACGGTGCAGGCGCGCGAGATGAAGGAGCAGTTTCTGGATGCCATGGAGCTGGGGAAGGAGCGAGGGATCACGATTAAACTGCAGGTAGGATTACTGTCTGGTTGAATGTGGTCGTTATGAGGTGACGGTGCAGGCGCGCGGGATGAAGCAGCAGTTTTTGGATGGCATGGAGCTGGGGAAGATAGATGGAAAGAGGGAACAGCAACTTTTTATCTTTGTTCACAGCGCAATGCTGCTGCTATTATTGCTGTCGCTCTTGCACAGCTACCTTGCTATTCCCATCCCATCACTCACCCCAGCCCTTGACAAAGAAGCGATGATGCCGCAATAAGGCCGAAATGACAGCTGCCAGGTGGCAGGCAGTGGCTGGTCCGTTGACTTTGACTTGGTCAACGGTCGAGTCCCTGTCTTGACCTCCCTTGGCTGCCAGCGTGACATGTGCGCACAGCGAGCAAAGGTTGATCCGCTTTTGTCTGAGCTTCTGAGTTGTTACTGTCAGTCAGTCAGACAGGAGGGGATTGCAGAACGCTATTGTCAGTCTGACAGACGTAGTGGGTTGTTGTGGGCTGGGCTGGTTGCAAGGATCTAAAAGAGGAAGGACATGAATTGCTGCCACTTGCCCCTGCTTGCTGCACCCTCTCCCTCTCTCACTCCTCGGGTGGATAGGGAAGGGGGCCACATGCAAGGGCAGGGCGAGGCGAGCAGAGAGTATGACGTCCGTTACACTTGATATGAGCAACCCAAGGCCTGGATTTTTGTGACAACAAAAGGATTAGCTTCTGGAGGGGGAGGAGAGGGGCACGTGCAGGGGCGGGGCGAGGCGAGCAGAGAGTATGACGTCCGTAACACTTGATATGTGCAACTGAACCGACGGCATGATTTTCATGACGACAAAAGGATTAGCTTTTGACATGACACAGCCTTTTGAGTCCTGGGCGTGGAACATTCATTCTTGGGTTGGGGTGTTATTCTGTGGTTAGTGATCTACCGACTGTGGTTACTCTAAATGTCTCTGGAAGAAGCTATGATGATGACTGGAATGGTTGTTGAGTTCTGGAGTCTCTTTGCTCCTTAACTCCCTCCACCCGCCCTCCCACCCACCACCAGTCAGCCCTCCCCTGTCCCTCCTTCTCCTCTCTCCACTCTCTCCTCCCCCCAATCACTCCTCCCCACGTCTGCACCACCGCCCTTCTCTCTGCTCTAATCCACCTGTGCTGGCAGCGTGACAGACACTTAGCCAAATCCGAAGGCCTTCTTGTTCCTCTCCTCGTCTCCCTCCCTTTCCCCCCTCTCCTTCTTTCCCCAATCCCTGCATGCCCTTCTTTTGCAAGAGGGTTCAAGGAGAGGGTTGAGGAGGGGAGGGGTGGGCAGGGTCTGGGAGGGATGGAGATGGTTGCAGGGAGGTCTGATGACGCGAAAATGGTTGTCCGAGAACAAAGGTGTATGGAAGCCTGCTATTTGCCGCTGGTGGATCCCGAGCAAGAGAAAGCGGATAGGGCGACGTGAGGGGGGTGTATTGTGTGTGGGGATGGAGTGGTGTATTGGGGGAGGCGATGAGGAGGGCTGGCTGGTGTGTGTTTGTGGAGAGGGGGCCTTGCTTGAGGCTTGCTTGCTTGCAAGCTGCCTCGGGGGAGCTGAGGGTGCTGCTGACTGACTGACTTCATTGTTGGCAGATGAAGCAATCTAATATACGTCCTCTGAGCTTCTTTCGTGAATGCTTCTGTGCATGTCAGTGGCCGTTTCTGGCCATCTGTGGCCATCTGTCGCCGTCAGTATCCGTCAGTGGCTGTTTGTGGCCGTCGATGGCCACCTGTGGCTGTTGGTGCTTGTTCCTTCCAAACCTTATTTTTTGCCATCATTTTCCTTGCTCTAGTGCGTCACCCACTCGCCATTCTCCCTGTTCTGTTCTCACCGCTTCTTGGTTGAAGCGGGTGCGTTTGGTTGGTGGGACCTCTTCGTTCCATTGGGGCATTCATGGGGCTGAGCTGAGCTGAGTTGCAACTTGCAATCGCTCCTTCCCCACCCCAACCCCCAGGCAGCGCGCATGAGGCATGTGTCAAGGGTGGACGGCAAGGCGTACTGCCTCAACCTCATCGACATGCCCGGCCACGTGGCCTTCAGCTACGAGGTGTCTCTACCTTTACATGTACCCCTTTCTCTCCCTCTCCTGCCTGATCTGTCTCCCATCCATCCATCCCACCCCCCAGGCAACCCGCATGCGCCACGTGTCAAGGGTGGACGGCAAGGCCTATTGCCTCAACCTCATCGACACGCCCAGCCACGTGGATTTCAGCTACGAGGTGTCTTTTCTTCCTTCATACCACTCCCTCTCTGTGTACTGTCTCTGCCCCGCCCACCTGTCCCACTGGCAGGCAGCGCGCATGAGGCATGTGTCAAGGGTGGACGGCAAGGCGTACTGCCTCAACCTCATCGACATGCCCGGCCACGTGGCCTTCAGCTACGAGGTGTCTCTACCTTCACATGTACCCCTTTCTCTCCCTCTCCTGCCTGATCTGTCTCCCATCCATCCATCCCCAACCCCAGGCAGCGCGCATGCGGCATGTATCACGGGTGGACGGCAAGGCGTACTGTCTGAACCTCATTGACACGCCCGGCCATGTGGACTTCAGCTACGAGGTGTCCCGCTCGCTGGCTGCATGCGAGGGAGCGCTGCTGGTGGTGGACGCGTCTCAGGGTGTGGAGGCACAGACGCTGGCAAACGTGTACCTCGCAATAGAGGGCAACCTGGAGATTATTCCGGTGAGTCGAAGTCAAACCTGAGTGTGTTGTTTTTGTGAGCTGGAGGGTTTTGTTGTTTGAGTGGAGGGTGATTCGGCACAGTAGCTCGCACGCTGGCTGCCTGCGAGGGTGCGCTGCTGCTGGTGGACGCGTCTCAGGGCGTGGAGGCTCAGACTCGAGCGAATGTCTACCTGCCAATCGAAGGAAATTTGGAGATCATTCCGGTGAGGGCTAGTGGGTGAGGTTTTGGGGTTCAGGGTTTACCAGAGTTCAAGCTTTAAGGTGGCGTGGAGGCACATGCACGAGCAGGTTTCTGGAGAGTGCATCTAGAGTGCATTCAGAGTGCATTCAGAGTGCATCCAGAGTGCATCCAGAGTGCATCCGTGCTCCTCAACAGGGTTCCATAGTCCTCTTCCGACCATCGCTCTCCTTCCCCACTTGCTCAGGTGCTCAACAAGACGAGTTTTGAGACGTCTCAAAACTCACATGCACGAGGAGGTTTCTGGAGAGTTGCATTCAGAGTGCATCCGTGCTCCTCAACAGGGTTCCATAGACCTCTTCCTACCGTTGCTCTCCTTCCCCACCCACTTGCCCAGATGCTCAACAAAATTGATCTGCCAGGGGCGGATCCGGAACGAGTGAGAGCGGAGGTGGAGGAGGCAGTGGGGCTGGACGCGTCAGACGCCACTCTGTGCTGCTCTGAGTGCATCCCTGCTCTGCTGCTCCCCTGCTCCTCAACCATGTGTCACGTTCCTTTTTTTCTATGCACACCAGGTGTTGAACAAAATTGATCTGCCAGGGGCGGATCCGGAGCGCGTACGGGCAGAGGTGGAGGAGGTGGTGGGGCTGGACGCGTCAGACGCCATCCTGTGTTCCGCCAAGGAGGGCGTGGGCATTCAGGACATCCTCGAGTCCATCATTGCCAAAGTGCCACCCCCTGCCCCCACTAGGGACCAACCCCTGCGGTGCCTCATCTTCGACAGGTATGTGGGGAATGGAATGGGTGGGTGGGTGGGAGGGATGGGAGGGCGTGGGCATTCAGGACATCCTCGAGAGTCCATCATTGCCAAAGTGCCGCCCCCTGCTCCTAGTAGAGACCAGCCGCTGCGCTGCCTCATTTTCGACAGGTATGAGGGGTGGGGATGCGGCAGGTTTATCACCTATCAAAGACAGGGCACCATGTGAAACCATTGTGCTCCGCCAAGGAGGGCGTGGGCATTCAGGACATCCTTGAGTCCATCATTGCCAAAGTGCCACCCCCTGCTCCTACCAGAGACCAGCCCCTGCGCTGCCTGATTTTCGACAGGTATGAGGGGAATGGAATGGGTGGGAGGGCAGGAAGGGCTGCAGGGAATGGGTGTGTCCTGTTCTTGAAGACAAGGTCACCACCACCATCACAGTGGCAGCGTGTGGTTCATGGCGAGTGGCTGCCTCGCTCACTGCTTGCCCTCCTCTATTCCCCCCCCCCTCCCCCCCCCCCTCCTCTCCCCCTTTTCTCCCCCTGTTCTCCCCCTTTCCCCCCCCTCCCCCTTCTCTATTATCCCCCACCAGCTACTATGACCCGTATCACTGTGTGATAGTGTACTTCAGGGTGGTGGACGGCGAGGTGCGCAAGGGAGACAGCGTGCGCTTCATGGCGAGTCAATGGCTCGCTCTATGCTCTCCACTCCCTTCCCCCCACCCCCCGCCAGCTACTACGACCCATACCGGGGGGTGATAGTGTACTTCCGCGTGGTGGACGGCGAGGTACGCAAGGGCGACAGCGTGCGCTTCATGGCGAGTGGCAAGCAGTACGAGGTGGACGAGCTGGGGGTGCTCTCGCCCACGCAGATGCCCGTCGATTGCCTCTATGCTGGCGAGGTGGGTGGGGGATGATGGCCTGTGCCATGATGAGAGGGTGGTGTGCGTGAGGGGTGGGTGGCGAGTGGCAAGCAATACGAGGTGGACGAGCTGGGGGTGCTCTCGCCCTCTTAGATGCCTGTCGACTGCCTCTATGCCGGGGAGGTGAGCTGGTCTAGCTGCCTGCTAAGAGCCTGGTTCGCCCAGCAGTGTGTGGGTGCTGTGATGGTGTGGTGGTGAGCAGGGGAAGCGGGTGGGTGGCGAGTGGCAAGCAGAACGAGGTCCCATACAACCCTCCTTTCCCCCTCACCCCCTTGACAGGTGGGCTATCGGCTGTCTGGCGGCGTCCATTCGCCAAGTGGCAGATGCGAGGGTGGCAGACACAATCCCTCACGCAGGGGGAGCGGGCAAGGGTGGCCCACGCGTAGAAAGTAGATTTTTGAGACGTCTCAAAAATCTACTTTCTACATCTGGCACTGGCAGCGTCCATTCGCCAAGTGGCAGATGCGAGGGTGGGAGACGCCATAACCCACACAGGTGGCGCGGGCAAGGGCGTCCCACCGGCTGAAGAGTCCTTTCCCGGCTACAGGGAAGCGGTGTCGATGGTGTTCTGCGGGCCAAACATTGATCTCTTTTTCACCCATACAGTGAGGGTTTCTGCTCTGCTCTTTCCGCCCTTCTCCCCTCCCCTCTCCCTTCTCCGCCCCTATCAGGTGGGGTATCTTGCAGCGTCCATTCGCCAAGTGGCAGATGCGAGGGTGGGAGACACAATCACCCACGCAGGGGGAGCGGGCAAGGGCGGCCCACCGGCCAAGGAGGGGTTGCCCGGGTACAGGGAGGCGGTGCCGATGGTGTTCTGCGGGCTCTTCCCCATCGACGCCGACCAGTTCCCCTCCTTGAGAGAAGCGCTGGAGAAGCTGCAACTGAATGATGCGGCACTACAGGTAGGAGAGAAATGGAGAAAGAGGGTGGGAGGGAGTGGGAAGGGAGGCGGTGCTGATGGTGCTCTGCGGGCTCTTCCCCATCGATGCCGACCAGTTCCCCTCCTTGAGAGAAGCGCTGGAGAAGCTGCAACTCAATGACGCAGCACTACAGGTGAGGAGAGGGTGGACGGAAGGAGGGCAGGAGGGAGTGGGGATGGATTGGGGAGGGATTGGGGAGTGAGTGGGGAGCAGGTGGGAGGGGGTTGGAGGGAGTTAAGAGGGGGCAACACCATTTCTTTCTCTTTTACCTTCCCCTCATTTTGCCTCCCTCCTGTGGCTCTCTCTCACTCTGTCGTCTGTCTGCTCCTCTCTCGCCCATCCAATTTCAGCCCGAGAGCAGCAGCGCCATGGAATTTGGCTTTTGAGGCTCTTAAAATAGCACTCTCACCCCCTACCTCCATTCTTCCCCTCTCTCTTTCCCCCTCTCTTCCCCTCTCCTTTTTCCCGCCAGTTTGAGCCGGAGAGCAGCAGCGCCATGGGCTTTGGCTTCCGCTGTGGCTTCCTGGGTCTGCTGCACATGGACGTGGTGCAGGTGAGGGGAGATAGGCATAGTGGCATGCTGGCATGGTGAGGGGAGATAGGCATAGTGGCATGCTGGCATGGTGAGGGGAGAGAGGCAAAGTGGCATGCTGGCATGGTGAGGGGAGATAGGCAAAGTGGCATGCTGGCATGGTGAGGGGAGATAGGCAAAGTGGCATGCTGGCATGGTGAGGGGAGAGAGGCAAAGTGGCATGCTGGCATGGTGAGGGGAGAGAGGTAAAGTGGCATGCTGGCATGGTGAGGGGAGAGAGGCAAAGTGGCATGCTGGCATGGTGAGGGAAGAGAGGCAAAGTGGCATGCTGGCATGGTGAGGGGAGAGAGGCAAAGTGGCATGCTGGCATGGTGAGGGGAGAGAGGCAAAGTGGCATGCTGGCATGGTGAGGGCAGTGCTGTTGGTATGGTGGCACGGTCTGCTGCACATGGACGTGGTGCAGGTGAGGGGATTGGTAGCAGCATGCAGGCATGGTAACATGGTTTCCTGCGCATACACGTCGTGCAGGTGAGGCGAGGGGAATACTAGTTGCGTTGCATGAAGGCATTTTTATGAGACCAGTCCAGCAATGGCAGTCTTCTTTCCCGGTGATTGATCAGTCCACAGGAGCGACTAGAGCAAGAGTACAAGCCTATGATGCGAAAGACGCTCAGAGGACGCTGCGTCCTGCGTCTGGACGCAGCGTCTGGACGCTAGGACGCAAGACGCGCGTCCAGACGCAGGACGCACATCGAAATTTTTTCGGGCTGCCCCGAAAATTATTTTTTTTTCCAGATTACGAATTTCAATCTCGCGATTTCGACGCGAGTGTCGAAATCGCGAAATTTTGACCCCACATTGCCCAGTTCGACATTGTAAAACAGCCCCCCCCCAACATTTCAATTTCAAAACCCCCCCTTCAACAATTGAATTCCAAATACCTCTCAACCACTTCACATCACATCTAGAAAACCCAACCAAGGTGCCTACCACCAAGCCCATTTAGCAATCCAACCAAGTCATTTCTCATTTCACCCACCCAACCAATTCTCTTTCGAAAACCCTAGAGGTTTTAGCCTACAAGCATAGCTTAGCTCCATTATGGCTTCCTCAAGCAACCCTACGTCATCTAACGCATCTAGGGATGTTTATGCCGAGGACGAGTCTCCCCCGCAGCGTTTCACTAGTGATGGGGTGGAGAAGAAACCGCAAAAGCCCAAACACCATATTTATAGGCATTTTTGGACATTCGAGGATCCGACGAAAAAGGGATTGCAGTGCGAGTGCCTTTGGTGCGAGAAATCGTTCGCCTTCAGTAGTAGCCGGTGCACTCAGCATCTCGCCGAATGGAACGACGCGAACGTGCGGCGCGATGGCGGTGTTGTTTGCGCGAAGGTTCCTAAGAGCATTTCAGACGCCATTCGCAGCGGGAAGGAGACAAAGATTACGGCGCGCAAGGATAAAGAGAGGGCTTTCGAGGCGGCGCTTACTGCGGTGAGCGGCCATGGCGGAGCGGAACCGAAGGCAAAGAAGGGGCGGATGGAGGATTGGTATGGCGAGGGGGGGAAGGCGGCGAAGCGTGCTGCCGACGATGCGATTTGCCTCTTCATCACGGGGACGCGCTTGGGGGAGACTATATGCCAGCACCCCCTCTTCCTCAACATGCTGCGCGCCGTGAACGCCGCCGGAACCAGCTATGTCCCCCCCAAGCGTGGTTACGTTGGAGGCGCCGGGCTGCTGGCGTGCAAGCAGCAGATTGAGAAGGCGTTAACGCCCATTACGAAGACGTGGAAGGAGACTGGCATGACGATCGCAAGCGATATGATGAGGGACAAGAGCGGGCGTGCGCAGATGAACATCCTCTGCATCAACGCCAGTGGAGCGGTTTTCCAGGAGGCGGTCGACTGCAAGGCGGAGACCAAAAGCGGAGCGTTTATCATGAGCGTCCTGCAGCCGGTCATCGAGAAGGTAGGACCGGAGCACGTCGTCGCGATTTGCACGGACGGCGGCAGCAACTACGTGTCCGCCGCCAAGCTGCTGCAGAAGAAGTACCCGCACATTGAGTTCGTCCCCTGCACCACTCATGTGCTCGACTTGCTGTTGGAGGACTTCGGCAGCATGGCTTGGGCGCAGGAGGTCGTGCCTGTGGCGACCGACATGATTTCGTTCATTCGCAGCCACACATGGACGCGTGCCTTCCTGCGCTGTCCCGAGTTGCACGGGGAGGAGAAGTCGCTTCAGCCGCTGCGACCGGCGGGCACGCGCTTTGGGACGCAGTACATAGCGGTGTCTCGTCTGCGTGAGATTCGCCCTCAGCTGACGGCGATGGTGACGCACAAGGATTGGGAGGAGAAGGGGAGGAAGCAGCTGACTGGGAAAGACTTTTAGGCGTCGGTGTTGGATGTGGAGTGGTGGGCAAAGGTGGATACCTTCGTGAACGTAATGGCGCTGCCGTACAAGGTGATGAGGAAGACGGATGGGCCGGCGAAGGGGATGATGGGGGCGATGTACGACATGATGCTGCAGCTGACGGAGGACTTGTCGGCGCTGTTGGAGAGTGCGGATTGTCCGCTCAGCGATGCGGATAAGGAGGGGTTGCTGGAGCACTTGAGGCGGCGTTGGGACGAGAGTTTGGCCTGTCCTCTTCACGTGGTAGGCCGGATTCTGAACCCGGTCAACCAGGAGGAGGGGATCTATCTCAAGGACATTGAGTGCACCAGGGTGATGAAGGCCTGGCTGTCGCGCTCGAGGGCCTTCGTCGACAAGTACTGGAAGAAGGATGGCGAGAGGACTGGAACGATGATGGCGCTGCAGGAGGGGATGCTGGCGTACATTGAGGGCAGGGGGTGCTTTGGGACGGAGGAGGCGATAGAGGGGCGTGCGCAGCTGAAGGCAGGGAAGGGGGACATGGCGACGTGGTGGAAGATGAACGGCTGGGAGTATGCCGATCTGACAGGCCTTGCAATCCGTGCGGTGTCACAGGCCGTTTCCGCTTCTCCGTGCGAGCGGGGATGGGCTACGTGGGATGGGGTGCACACGGCGCGCAGGAACAGGTTGGGGTCGGAGAAGGTGCGCGACCTGGTGTTCGTGGCGCACAACTGGAAGGCTGTGCTCGGCCACCACGAGGGTGCAGTTGTTGCAGGGCCAAGTGGGGAAGTGAGGAAGGCGGGGGTAGTGGAGGGGAACATTCCCACCCCTCCCCTCCCCGAGGGGTACAGGTTGGAGGAGGATGGGGAGAGGGAGGTGGACGAGGACGACATGATGGTCGATGAGTATAAGGACCAGGATGAGAAGAAGGATAGCGAGGAGGACGGGGATGAGTGACTGGTTGCTTGCATGCAGTGCTGTGGTGGTAGTTTAATAGTATGCGTGTTCTTCAGTGATACGATAAACTATGTATGTATGTGACCTTGGGACATGTGTGTGTGTGACAATACGTGACTCACCTTAATCTTGAGATTTGGGGGAAAATTTGATGTTGGGGCCAAGTTTGCCTTGAAAGTGTGGAACGTTCCCCCCCCCCCCCCCCCCCCCCCTCATCCCATGCCCTATAACAAGTTTTTTTGCCTGCCCGGGGGTTTTTTTTGCCTGCCCGGGACTGCGTCTTTTGGTGCGTCTTTCTGGTCCTGGTGAAGCGTCCTGCGTCCGGACGCATGCGTCTGGACGCATGCGTCCAGGACGCAGGACGCGTCTTTCGCATCATAGGTACAAGCTGTACCTGATCACAACGGCCCCCAGCGTGGTGTACCGTGTGGTGAAGCGGGACGGGTGGCTCATGATTAATCAGGCACCCACATTCTCCCTCCCTGCTTCCTCCTTGCCACACCTTACAGGAGCGACTAGAGCAAGAGTACGAGCTGTACCTGATCACAACTGCCCCCAGCGTGGTGCACCGTGTGGTGAAGTGCGACGGGTTGCTCATGCGTCAAGCACTCACATTCTGCCTCCCTCTCCCCCTTTCCCGCACCTCTCAGGAACGCTTGGAGCGAGAGTACAGCCTTGATCTGATCACAACCGCTCCCAGCGTCGTGTACCGAGTGGTGAAGCGGGACGGGTCGGTGGTGGAGTGTTCCAACCCCGCTGACATGCCGGATGCCTCTGTGCGCACTGAGATCCAGGAGCCCTACGTGCGGGTGAGTCCTCATGGGGGGTGAGTGAGTCTCCAGCTAAGGAGGATGAGCAGAGCGGCCTGGGTGTGGGTGAGTGTCAGGGTGAGGGGTGAAGCGGGACGCCTCCGTGGTTCAGTGGTGGAGTGTTCCAACCCCGCTGACATGCCGGATTCCTCTGTGCGCACTGAGGTCCAGGAGCCCTACGTGCGGGTGAGTGAGTCGCGTGGGGGGTGTGACGTGGGGTGAGTGGGGGGGGCGGAAGGACGAACTAGATCCAGCACCCCTATGTGTGGGTAAGTGGGTCTCGAGAGGGATGAGCGGGCTGGCTGCAGGTGAGAGCGTGCGGTTTAGGGGAGCCTGAGTGGACTCCCTTCATAGGGTCGACTCAAATGTAGTTTGAGTCGACTCAACAGTCTACCCCCAAGGACTACAGTGGCACGCTCATGGGCCAGGTGGAGGAGAGGCGGGGCGAGTGAAGACATGTATGCCCCTCTTCCCTCCCTCGTATCTGCTGCTTTTTCCCGTTACCTCTCCAGCTGGACATCCTAACCCCCAACCCAAGGATTACATCGGCAACTCTCATGGACCTGGCATAGGAGAGGGGGGGGCGGGCGAGTGAAGTAAAGACATGCTGGCTCCTCCCTATGCCCGCTCCTCCCCCTCCACCCGCCCGCCCCCCACCAGCTGGACCTCCTGGCCCCCAAGGAGTACATCGGCACTCTCATGGACCTGAGACAGGAGAGGCGGGGTGAATGGAACACATGCATGCCGTTCCTCGTTTGTATCCTCTGCGCTTCCCCCCCCCCCCACCAGCTGGACATTCTGACTCCCAAGGAGTACATCGGCACTCTCATGGATTTGGCTCAGGAGAGGTGGAAGATGCTCCCTGGCATGCCCGCTCCCTCCGCTCATTGTTCTTCCAACCACCACCACCCCTCTCCAGCTGGACATCTCTGACCCCCAAGGAGTACATCGGCACTCTCATGGATTTGGCTCAGGAGAGGTGGAAGATGCTCCCTGGCATGCCCGCTCCCTCCGCTCATTGTTCTTCCAACCACCACCACCCCTCTCCAGCTGGATATTCTGACTCCCAAGGAGTACATCGGCACTCTCATGGATTTGGCTCAGGAGAGGCGCGGAGAGTTTGTGGAGATGAAGTATGTCACCGAGTCGCGCACCACTCTGTCCTATGACACCCCTCTGGGCGAGGTATGCGCACGGGCGGACAGGCAGGCATGCATGCAGGAGGCGGTGGGGATGAAGGCACACAGACTAGGGGGGACTGGGAGAGACTAGTTGGCCAGGCAGTAGGGGGAGTGGAGGGAGGAGAGGCGGGGCGAGTTCATGGAGATGAAGTATGTGACCGAGTCGCGCACCACTCTGTCCTATGACACTCCTCCGGGCGAGGTAAGGGCACGGTGGTGGGGGTTAGGGATGCAACTAGAGCGGGGTAGAGGGGCGAGATTGTGGAAATGAAGTATGTCACTGAGTCCCACACCACGCTGTCCTATGACACTCTTCTTGGAGAGATATGCAGAGGCACGGATTGGGGACACTAGGGGGTTGGGGACACTAGGGGGTTGGGGACACTAGGGGGTTGGGGACTAGTGGGGAGTGGAGGGCAGAAGGGGGAGTGCATGAAGGAGAGGTGGGGCGAGTTCGTGGAGATGAAGTATGTCACTGAGTCGCGCACTAGAGGTATGCGGAGGAGCGCTGAGGGAGTAAAAGGCAATATGGTTGGTGGGGGGGTGTGATATAGGGTTGGCGGGACAGGCAGGCTCGCAGGAAGGCAAGGGAGATGTATGGGGCATTCACACATCGCGCTGTATATGATACGCCATTGGGCGAGGTATGGGGGGTCAGTGGGTGTTAGGGGGCCACTACGTGGCTTAGACGAAGGGCTTGCATCAGGGCAGTGGAGATGAAGTATGTCACTGTATGTCACCGTATGTCACCATATGTCACCGTATGTCACCGTATGTCACCGTATGTCACCGTATCTCACCGTATCTCACTGTATGTCTCCGTATGTCATTGTATGTCACCGTATGTCATTGTATGTCACTTTATGTCACCGTATGTTACCGTATGTCACCGTATGTCACCGTATGTCACCGTATGTCACCGTATGTCACCGTATGTCGCCGTATGTCACCGTATGTCACCGTATGTCACCGTATGTCACTGTATGTCACCGTATGTCACTGTATGTCACCGTATGTCACTGTATGTCACCGTATGTCACCGTATGTCACTGTATTTCACCGTATGTCATTGTATGTCACCATATGTCACCGTATATCACCGTATGTCACTGTATGTCACCGTATGTCACCGAGTCCTGAACGCTGCTGTCCTATGATAGCCCATCGCGCACCACGTTTTCCTTTGGGAAGGGAAGGGACAACTTGAGCCAATGTCACTCATTTTCACACACCTATCCTCCTGTGCCCTTCCTGTGCTGCTCCCTTGGTGCCCCATGCTGTGTTGTGGCAGGTGGTGGGGGATTTCTTTGACCAGCTGAAGTCTCGCACCAAGGGTTACGCCAGCATGGAGTATAAAGTCATCGGGTATGCTGCTTGTACTGAGTTGGTTGGATATGCTAATATGGAGTAAAAATCTCACCAAGGGCTACGCCAGCATGGAGTATAAAGTCATTGGGTATGCTCCTTGTACTGAGTCGGATGGTCATGCTAATGTTGGGTACAAAGTTACTGGGTGTGCGCCTTATTCATTATTGTCTGGGCATGTGCTTCAGATTTCTTGAGATTCGTACCAAGGGCTATGCCTGTAAGGAGGACAGAGTCAAGGTCATGGGATAGGTTACTTGCCCACAGTCCAACCCACCTGACCCCACCACACCCCACCCCACCCCACCCCACCCCCCTGCACCCCGCTCCACCGCACTTCCTCTCTCAGGTACCACAGAGGCAACCTGGTGAAGATGGACATTCATGTTACAGCTCCTACCCATACCGCCCCACCCCATCCCCACCCACCCCATCCCACCCCATCCTGCCCCACCCCATCCCACCCCACCCCGCCCCACCCCACCTCACTCCACTGCTTGTCCTGCAGGTACCGCAAGAGCAATTTGGTGAAGATGGACATTCAGCTCAATGGGGAAATCGTGGAGCCGTTGTCGGCCATTGTGCACCAGGAAAAGGTGGGTGAGAGGTTAAAATACATTCTGATTGCCATTGTGCACCAGGAAAAGGTGGGTGAAGAGGGTAATTTACACTCTGCTGACCATTGTGCTCCAAGAAAAAGTGTGTGAGAGGGTATATTACCCTTAGGCAGCCATCGTGCACCAGGAAATGGTGGGTGAGAGGGTAAAATACACTGCTGGCCTTTTTGCAACAGGAAAAGGGGGTTGAGAGGGTAAAAATACACTCTGTTGGCCATCGTGTGCCTGGTGAATGAGTAGATTACGCATCAGAAGTTTTTTTTTTTTTTTTTTCTAAAAGAAACAAAAATCCAAACAAAAAAAAACCCTTGCTGCTGCTGGCTGCAGAGTCAAAACACTATAACCATGTTACGTTTCCCCCAACCAGGCCTACGGAGTGGGCAGAGCACTCACACAAAAGCTCAAGGAGCTCATTCCCCGACAGATGTTCAAAATCCCCATCCAGGTGCGTTCAGTGTTCAAAACCCCCATCCAGGTGCGCTCAGTGTTCAAAATCCCCATCCAGGTGCGCTCAGTGTTCACTTCTCTCGCAACCCGAGTTTCATGGTATCTTTGCTCTGTCCTCGTGGCCTGTCAAGTCAAGGTGATGTCCCCTTGTGTCTGCACTGTCCCCATAACATCCCTCATGCTCCCAATCCTCAGGCATCCATGCATGTCAGGTTTTCTGTTTGTATGTGTATTGATTGTGAAGTGTGTTAGCCTGCTGCACAACTTGCTTCTTCCTGATGTTGCATTACCTCGATTATCTCTCGAGCAGGCATGTGTTGGAACCAAGGTCATCGCAAGTGAAACAATTGCAGCCATTCGGAAAGACGTTCTAGCCAAGTGCTATGGTGAGTGCATAGCTGTTCCCTGCATGTCTGTCAGTTCTTTATGTTGCGAGACATAGTTGCTTGACAGGATGGTGTGCTGGTTGCAGGTGGTGACATTTCCCGAAAGAAGAAATTGTTGAAGAAGCAAGCAGCGGGGAAGAAGAGAATGAAAGCGCTTGGACGAGTTGAGGTGCCTCAAGATGCCTTCATGGCTGTGCTTAGACTTGAGAAAGAAAGCTTGTGATAGGCATAATGTTAAAACATGTCAAAGAAACAACTTGCATACAAGCATTTTTTCTGTGCTTGCATTGCGAATAAATTGCCAAGAAAATAACACTCTAAGAGCGTGTTCCTACTGCCTCATATCAGGAAACCTCGTATCAAGAATGCTGTTTTTGCCTGGTAAAACTAGCGAGAGGTTTTGGGTTTAGGGAAATTTTCAGTGTGAGCCTGATACGAGGTTATCTTGATACGAGGATAGGAACACGCTCTAACCTGTCACATATGGGAGTAGCTGTAAGGCTTTAAGGAATTTTCTCGACATTTCTTACCGCAACCGTCAACATTGCGTACAGCAGTAGCCGTTGTTTGCCCGTTACTGATAACGGGGCTTCGCCAACCTCGCGCACATTGTTTCACCAAACCTCGCACTGTTGGAGCAACCGAGTCGGCCTACGCTTCGGGACTAGCCCGAACCTCGCGCCAGCAAAGCACTAGCTAGCTCGTGCATGTTGGGATGAGAAAAGCCCTTATGATCTTTTCAAGGCTAAACTCTGAGTAGAGGTGTTGTAAGTGCGAAAGCGTTTTAATGATGAAGTGTTGAACCACCTTGCGCTAGTATATGAGGGCAACATAGATTGATCATAGAAAAGTAATACAAGCTTTTTATATGATTACAATGAATATGAAAGTGTGCAACTAACTTTTTTACTGCTGTTGTTGCGGTTCGATACAGTGACGACTCGGGCAACTGCTCAGTATCGAGACAGTTGTTTCTCCTTGCAGTCGCGCTGTATTTGTCAAGTCAAAGGTCGCTGACCTTTGACCTTCGCGTAACCTCCAGCAGTTACTTCTCTTGTCAACCTCCGATGGTTGACTCACCGTTGCTTCGTTGCTATTTGCTTCGTTTACAGTTCGATGTTCCGACACATCAGAAGCGTTAAGTTACTTGTTTCCAACACTCCCCTTTGCTTCTGGAGTGTCGCTGCTGGTGACGTGGCTTTGTCCAGTCAGCAGCATGCAGTACTCGAACTTCTGCTTTCCGAGCTTCTTGGTCAAATAGTCGGCTGCCATTTCGGTCGTGGGACTGTAAGATAACTCGAGTCTCCCCTTCTCGATCTCGTCTTTTACGAAGAAGTATCGCAGGCAGTGCCCTAGATATAAGACTTTGGAGTCTGAATCAGAGTCCGTTCAGACTTTTTTTTTGTACCTAGTCTGAACTCCAAGAATTTATTTATGTACCTTGTCTGATTTTCCAGAGTTTTTTCTTATGAGTTGTCTGAAATTTCAGCCTAATTTTACTAGGGTAGGCTGAGCCTCAGACTTGTATCGGGGGTTCACTCTGCGCGCTTATCGGAGGAAAGTTTCCTGGAAGTTTCCTTCCGTTATGCCCACTTCCGAGATGGCAGTGGAGTGCCAGGACGTGAGCAACGCTCACTTCGACAGCTGGGACATCCAAATACACTCGTTCGTTGAGAATATCTTCCAGTTACGCTGAGGAAATGGTTGCGTGATTACGAGATTTATGAAGACAAAATCTCGTCACATGTAATTTATCGCTAATGTATTGTAAAGAATAGGCGACTTTGATGCTGATTCGCTGTAAAAACATCTGCAGCACGCACTGGCGTGATTGCGAAGTTCCTGATTCGTACTGAAAGTTTCGTGTGGCACTTGTCTGATCCTCACATGCCACGCCAAGCAACAGTTCTGCCTGCTGCCAGCTCAGCTGCGTGGCACTTGGCCCACCTGATACAGATTGGGTGAACGATCGAATCGCTTGAAAAGCGAATCCAAAACTGACAAAATCGGCACACATGCGAGAAAATGGGTACAGAACGGTAATCACACACATGACAAAACGAAATGAGATCAGCAGAGCAGAAACAACCATGCGCTTCACGTGACAAAAACACTGGAACGCCGCCGACATGAGCAGAGGCGATGCACGAGCACGAGCACGTTGCCTGATGCGTTGGTATGGTAGGTTGTAATCAGCCTCAATGCTATTATAACTGCTTTTACGAAACTGCATGAACATCTTAAAATTTGAAGTAACTCTGACAGTTCATACAAAAAAAATTGTGCTTGTCTGAATTTTCAGACTAAAATTTTGAGGCACCTCTGACAGACAGAGTTCCAGGAGGGGTGTACTCTGAGGCCTCAGACTACCTCAAAACGAATCTAGGGGCCTGATCGCAGGGCGATATGTTTCGTCCGGTTCGCGAACCCGTTCTTGTTCGCTATACGAATTGCAGATTGGTTGTCGCAGAACAGAGTGAAGCTGGGTAACTGAGCCAACTTCAATTCTTCTAGCAGTTCGCAAAGGTACAAGCCTTCCTTGGTGGCTGAGCAGAGTGCAATATATTGTGCTTCAGCTGAGGAGAGAGCGATTAGTTCTTGCTTGCTCGACTGCCACAAGATAGCCCCGATAGGTTCGAGTCGGTAGATGTAGCAGGTGCGTGAGCGCCTATTGTCTGCGTCGCCGGCGTAGTCGGCGTCTACATAGCCGATTAGCTTAGGTGTCGAGGTTCCATTTTTGTGGTAGATCAGGCCGATTGTCGGAGTGCTGACGAGGTAGTGGAGTGCGCGGTCGAGTTTCGCCACGTGCTATGCTTCAGGTTTCTTGAGGTAGGTGGCAAGCTGGCTTGCCGAAAATGATAGGTCTGGTCGGCAGGTGACGGCTGCGAATAGTAGACATCCTAGCTTTCGCAGATAGTCGCGTATGCCGGCAGGCTTGAGTGGTGCAGAGATTCCTTCGTGGCTCGCGGAGGTGTAGCGGTACGGTATGGAGATAGTAGTAATCCGAAGCGTTTGGCGATGGTGTCTGACAAAAGTAGAAGGAAGAAGAGGATTGCACTAGCAAGAATGGGGATACAAATAGCAAACCCTAGAGGGGTTGTACTCGCTATAGAGCACCCCACTACAGGCTAGAGCATAAGATAACATTCTGACACACCCCCATAGCCAAAGTGGGGTGTAATCAGCAGAGTAAGCAGAGCAGTACAAGCTCAGGGTGGATCACAATGTCACCACACATTCTGAGCACAAGTTCAAGAAGCAATAGTTTAGAGTTCACAATTATGAACAAAGCTAGTGGTAGTCACAACGGACAAGTGAGGAGGTGGAGAGAGAGTGAGGGGAGAGGAGATAGGAGGCGACGGCTGAAGCTGCAGACACACGGGCAACAGTAGGCAGACTGGCACAGCGGCTACCGGGCGAAGCCCCCGGAATACTGGAGTAACTGGCCCCGCGGCTAAAGTAGCGGCAGAGGAGCAACGGACCCACGGGCGGCTGGCGTAGAAGTCTACGACTGGGCTACCGGGCGAAGCCCCCGGACTACAGGTGCTGCTGGCGACACGATGGCAACCTCCGTGCAACTTCCCAAAACAGTCCCACCCCCCCTGACACACACCCGCTGCTACACCGCTAGCTCCACTCCCACGCACCCCCCCTTAAACCCTAAACCCCAGTCTCCCACACATCCACCCCCCTCAGCGACAGCTGCAGCAGTGGGAGACAAAGGAGGAGGAGGAGCAAAGGGAGGAATGAGGAAGTGCCACCCCCATACTCGCCACCCCCTGCTCGCCACCCCCAAACCCTAACACAGACAGGGTGGGATGGAGGGTAGGCAGGGTGGGATGGCGGCGCTCGCCCCCCTCCCCCAGCGGCCCCCGAGGGAGCCGCGACGGGCGACGGGAAATGGGGCCGGGGCGCAAGGAGGGCGGCGGGGCCACAGGTGTAGAGCGGCGGGGCCGCGAAGGTGGGGCGGCGGGGCCGCGACAGAAGGGCGGCGGGGCCGCGAAGTGGGGCGGCGGGGCCGCACCGAAAGGCGGCGGGGCCGCGACGTGAGGCGGCGGGGCCGCGAAGTGGTGCGGCGGGGCCGCACCGTAAGGCGGCGGGGCCGCGACGTGAGGCGGCGGGGCCGCGAAGTGGGGCGGCGGGGCCGCGACGGGTCCCCGTCGCCCGTCGCGGCGCCTTCAGAGGGCGACGCGGCGAACGACGGGGCAGAAGCCCGCCGCGCACCTCGGGGCGCACAGCGGGCAGAGAACCGCCGCGCGCCTCGGGGCGCACGGCGGGCAGAAAACCGCCGCGCGCCTCGGGGCGCACGGCGGGCAGAAAACCGCCGCGCGCCTCGAGGCGCACGGCGGGCATAAGATAACATTCTGACAGTGTCGGCGTATTTTGCGGCGCTGAGATAGATCGCGTTCTCTTCTTCTTGTATGTTGAGCTCGAGGTATTGTGTCACGGTGGATGAGACGGTGAGCATTAAGTCCCGCTGCAGCTCCCCTTCGAAGCAGGTTGTGACGCCGTCGGTCGAGCCGATGTAGAGTAGATCGTCCACATAGACGATCAGCAGGATGTAGTCAGTTCCTTTCGTGAGCCGGTACATTCCTTGATCGTGCAGCAGTTGTCGGAATCCGATGCGGATTAGCCGCGCATGTAGGTACTGCGACCACAGTCTTAGGGCCTGTTTGATGCTGTACATAGACTTCAGTAACTGACAGACTTGGTTGGGGTCTGCATTGGAGCCGTGCGGTTGCTCGACGAAGATTTCAGCATCGACGGGTGCGTAGAGAAAGGAGTTGGCGACGTCGATTTGACGAAGCTTTTTCCGCTTCATGGCGTCTGCCTTTGTTTTCACCCAAAGAACCCATTTTCGGGTGAGAATGGTCTTGTTCCGTGCCACACTGATAGGTACGACCTTCGAGGTGTTGCGTTCTTCAAGTGCCTTTAACTCCCTGTCCACGGCCTCGCGCCATTTTTTCCTGTGCTCCCGCACCAGAGCCTGTTGAACTATGGCAGGCTCCTTAGGTGGCGCTGAGCCGTGGACTGCGGTGACAAGTCTGAGTATCTAGAGTCCACTTTGCGTGTAGCAGGGGAGATTTGCGTCCTCGCGATAAGCTGTTTCGTCTCCTGCTTCTGGATCGGGTATGAAATTAGGTCCTACGCGTTCTGCTTCATCGGTGTTGACTTGCGCGGGTGTAACGTAACCGTTGTCAGCGAAGTTGTAGAAGACTTCGG